TAGACTATACAAGGAAAAGGAATACCATGAAAAGATTAGCCTCTAAGGCTTTAGAGGATGAGTATAAAAGACTTGAAAAAGAGCTACAGAAAATGCCACAGAAAAAGGACATCAAGTTAAAAATGGATATAGTTAAACATAAAATGGGTCAAATAGAAAAAGAAGAATTAGCACAGAAAATTAGAGGTGCTAAACAGAACTACTTTGAAGACACAAACAAACCAGGTAGATGGTTAGCATACAAATTGAGAAAGGAGAAAGAATCGAGGAAAATATTCCAATTAACAGATGACCAAGGCCAAGTTTGCTATGGTAGTAAAGAGAAGAAGGAAATCATTCGAGACTTCTATGGGAAACTATATATGCAAGAGAATATTGATGAGGAAAGAGTTAAACAGTACTTACAGAATGTTAATTTACCTCAGATACCTAAAGAGACGGAAAAAATGTTAGAAAGCAATATAAGGATGATAGAGTTAACTGAAGCACTCAAGAAGCAAAATAATGGAAAGGCACCAGGCCCAGATAGACTTCCGGCAGAATTATATAAAACATTACAAGAATTGTTGAAACTTCCATTGCTAGAAGTTATGAATGAAGTTATGTTAAAGAAGATACCTAAATCATGGTCAGAAGCCTATATTACACTTATTCCAAAAGAGGAGGCCGATCCATTACAAATTAAGAACTATAGACCCATTTCTCTACTAAATGCAGATTACAAAATCTTTGCTTCAATATTGGCAGAAAGACTTAAAAAATATTTAAATAATTTTATCCATCCTGATCAAAATGGATTTCTGCCAAAGAGAAAAATTAAAGACAATATGAGAGTAATCTTGGACACCTTGGAATACTACGAGGCACATCCTGAAAAACAAATGGCTCTGATATTTCTAGACGCACAGAAGGCATTTGATAATGTGAATTGGCGATTCATGTTATTACTGTTGGAACAGAGGGCAAAGGTAATGATAGAGAGAGAACTGACAGACTCTATCAATATAAGAAAAGGAACAAGACAAGGGTGCCCGTTATCACCTTTGTTGTTTGTGTTAACTTTGGAAGTGCTAAACAGAAATATTAGAGATGAAAAGAATATAAAAGGAATGAAAATCAAAAAGGAAGAATTTAAACTGCAAGCATTTGCAGATGATCTGGTTTTCATCTTAGAAGACCCTCTAGAAACAGCACCAAAATTGATAGAAAAGATAGAGACGTATGGAAAGGTGGCTGGTTTGAAAATAAATAAAGATAAGACAAAGATCTTGACAAAGAATATGCTATCACGACAAAAGGAAGAACTGGCAGACCTATTGAAAATTCAGGTCACGAATAAGATCAAGTACTTGGGGATATACTTGACAGCAAGATGTAGTACACTAAAAGAGAATAATTATATCAAACTTAAACAACAGATAGCGCTAGATCTGGCGAAATGGGAAAATTTACAACTGTCACTAATAGGGAGAATTTCAACAATCAAGATGAATATATTACCCAGAATTTTATATTTGTTTCAAACAATTCCAATTAGGCTTGGAAAAGATTACTTTGAAGATTTAAATAAAATTGTGTTGAAATATATATGGCAAGGTAAGAAAGTGAGAATAAAATTAAAACTTTTGCAAGATGCTAGAATTAGGGGAGGATTTGGTTTGCCTAATTGGGAGTTGTATTATCAAGCTACAAATCTGATGTGGGTTAAGGAATGGATAACACTAAGAAATGCTAGATTGTTGACATTAGAAGGACATGATTTGTTGTTGGGGTGGCATGCTTTTTTATGGTATAAAGGAACTAAAACACAGGGGTATTTTAGAAGACATTATATACGGGAGTCTTTGTGGTTAAACTGGGAGAAGATTAAAAGACAATGTTATTTGAAAATTCCAGTCTGGCTATCAACTATTAAAGCATTTTCTTATCCTATAATATACAAAAAGGAACAAACAGTTAGATATGGTGAAATATTGAATGAAAAGGGTGAACTCAAATCTATACAAAATCTAGAGGAACAAGGTATAAAGATGAATTGGTTTTCATATGCGCAAATACATTCAAGGTATGATAAAGATTCTAAAATAGAAGGTTTCTATGATAAATTGACTGATTTAGATAAGATTTTGACAGGTACTGATGAAAAGGTGATTAAAAAATTGTATGGATATTTATTAGAAACTAAACTAGAGGAAGAATAAGTTAAAGAAACTATGATTGCTTGGGGGAAGAATTTTGGATATGGGATTGATTTAGAGAAATGGCAAAAATTGTGGTCTCAAAATTATGAAATGACAATGTCAACAGCATATAAAGAAAATTTGTATAAGATGTTTTACAGGTGGCATTTCCCCCCGACAAGAATATCAAGAATGTTCAAGAATAAATCCGAAAAATGTTGGAAATATCATCAGACACCTGGCTCACATTACCATATGTGGTGGACTTGTGCGGATGCTAAAAGATACTGGACGAAAATCCACATGTGGTTGGAAAAAAATGACAAAAAAGCATACAGACTTGAAACCAGAGATATTTTTATTGGGAATTTTACCTGAAATTTATAGTAAAGATTTGAAATATCTGATTGTAAATGTATTAACAGCGGCTAGGATTGTATTTGCTAACAACTGGAAAAATGAGAAAATACCATCACAGGAGGAAATCATTAAGAAAATATTGGAATGTGCTGAAATGGGTAGATTGACATTTGAAATTAGAGAACAAGACGATAAACAATTTTATAAAATTTGGGATCTATTCTATCAATGGTTGGACAATAAAATACAGTAATGAAATATGTAGACTTTTAGAAAATAATAAATATATAAAGATGTACTTTTTTCTTATTATATCTACAAAATGATTTTAGGATAGATTTGGGATGATAATATGATCTGTTATAAAACGAACTAAGTAAATTATGATTATCTTGTAAAACATGAACGAATAAAAGCATAGTCAAATGATTGATTAATAATGATACTAAGGTATTTAATTTTTGATTGAAAATATGAGATTATATACAATGTAATTGTAATTGAAGACTATGAAATGGAAGCACAAAACAATTTGTAAACCAACCGGCACACTGTATGTATACATATGGAAGATGGCTTGATGTTTTTATGTTTTGTTTGTTTATGTCTGTTTTAAAAACCAATAATTTTTTTTTTTTTTTAAAGTAGTACAGCTGGAAGTCAAGTAAAGAGATTTTCCATGTACCGTTGCTCTTAGATATCATTTAGGTAGGTCTGAAAAGGAATGTCTTTTAAACAACGGTATTCTAGATGAAGATAGAGGCTTGTGAAGTTCGTTCCACACCTAGTCTTAGAAAATGTACTACAACTAGCTTCAAGCAGGTTTGGTAAATAGGCTTGACACTTTTAAGGTATGTTTCCCCTCTACATTATGCTGTAAAGTGCAGCATAATGTGTCCACATCATTTACCGACAGTAATCCTTAAAGTCCTGGTTGCCATCAAAATCCCTGGATCATGTTTGTCATAAATGGGAAAAGGCAGCAGTTTCAAGCAAGGAGTGCAGGAGTACTATGTGGAAGTGGGGGAGAAATCTCATGGATGGATACCATGGAACTCAAGCAGGGGAACTGAGGCTTTGTGTGGGTTATTGGAGGCCACAAGGGTCAGCAGAGGGCTTGGGAGAGCCATTGAAGGCATTGGGAGGGTTGGCAGAGGTTATTGGTGGGGGTGGTGTAGATGAGTATGTGCTTCAGACTACAGGTGGGCACATGCTATATAGAACAAGGGTCCCCATTTCCCAATCCCTGGCCTGTAGACTGGCACCTGTCTGTAGCATGCCAGAAATTGAACTGCGCAAGAGAAGCCCCCATCCGTGAGATGCAGGCACCACATGAAATCACATTCCCTCTGGTCCATGGAAAAACCTCTCTCTTTGGAACAGGTCCCTGGCACCCCAAAGGTTAGGGGGTGCTGCTATAATGTATCGGCAGGTGGGGAGTCAATGGAATATGAGATCCTTCGCTAGTACTTTCACAGGAGGCAGGAGTGATTTACAGGAGGAACTTGCGACGTTCCTTGTCAGCAGCTTTGACCCAGTATCATGCCCATCAGAGTCTGAATTTGAGGAGGAAGATGAACAGCTGACAGGGAGTGGGAGTGTGGCTCCGTTGGCTGTGGAGGAAACTGGGGAAGGGCAAAGTCTGGCTGGGCAGAGCAGGATAGAGGTAGAACAAGAGACAGGGAGTTCAGAGGAAGACCCAGGCCCACCCCCTCTTCATCCTAGGGCATGCAGGGAAGAACGGAGAAGAGAGCAACATGGGTTGCATGGCTTATGGGAGGAGGAAAGGGCCCTGATTCCCTTCATTAGCCACAGCTGGGAAGGGAGTTTAAGATGCATGCTGAGTGTGGCGTCTTCTGGGAACAAATGTGAGTTTATTTTGTGTATACTTTGATTATTTGCGTTCCTGGCATCCTCCCAATTACGTCTGGAATTCCTTCTCCTGTCCTGCCAGATTAATTACTTAATTTTTGCCTTGTTTGGACTTATAATTACAGTTTTTGTTGACTACGTTTTGGACTTGATTCTCTGCAGCCAAAGGCTGTTCCTAAGAGAGTTTTCTCCAGCCAGAAGGTAACCATTGGGGATAAAGTTGGAGCTAACAAAGGGACTCCTAGTGATTATCTGACTATGTTGCCTTTTGTGCCATGCCCCGGGTCATCACACACTGCTACACTGTACTTGCAATCTGGGCATCTGAGTGCTCAGATTGTGATCATGTGACCATGGGGCGCTGCAATGGATGGTACTAACAAATAAAGATTGGCCATAAGTCCATTTTTTCAGCACTCCCGTAACTTTGAGTAGAATAATAAATGGATATAAGTGGTAGACTACATTTAGAATAGAATAAGACTGGAATACATTAAAAATTTCTCTACTTCTTTCAGTCCTAGCAGATCCCAGCATGTAGAAAAAAAGAAAGAGGGACTACACAAAGGGTAAAGCAAACAGACATACCAAGTTCATGCTGGGTCCTGCCTTTCCAAGAAGTAATGACTCCAGTAAACAGCAAAGAGTAACAACTTTACTGATGTCCACTTGTCTTATGGCTTGGGAACACTTTTTGTGAATATATTTTAAACCATCTTCAACATAACGGGAAAAGAGTTCAAACAAATATGTTCTTGTTTCTTCATTGAGCTAAACAAAAATCAACATTGTTGTACAATTAGTTTCCTCACCAACTTAGAAAAATGTACATTTCATAAGAAGAAAAGAAATCTAATATATTAGTGTATATAGTATTGCACTCTAATGTCTCCTATGCTAATAGGTCTAGAATCCAAATAGGGTAATGAAAAAGAAAAGGGAGGTACTGGTGTGCCCAGGGAGAAGATACCAAAGTTTATAGCCATTTTACAAAGCTATTTTAACAATGAAAAAGCAGATTATGAGAACTGAGAATCTCCTTCCTTCCTTCCTTCTCTCCCTCCTTCCTTCCCTCCTTTCCCTATACTGCCCATTCCAAATTCTGGACAGCTTACAACAATATAGGTAAGTTAAACATAAACTGCAGGGCTATCAAATATAACATGATGATTGTAACCTAACAGCAAAGACATGCTTATAAAAGAAAAATATTCAATTATCTGCTTGAATGTCAGAAGACAAAAGTCCAAGTGCCGCTCTGGGAACAGTGTATTCCATAAATGCGGGGCCTGTAAAAAGGTGGCCTCGGAGTCACCCTATGACTATTATTAAGTATTCGAAGTCACCCTATGACTATTATTAAGTGTTGTACCTTATGATTCTTGACTCTTGATGAAAGTATCTTTTCTTTTATGTACACTGAGAGCATATGCATCAAGAAAATTCCTTGGGTGTCCAACCACACTTGGCCAACAAAGAATTCTATCTACCCTAACAAAAATGTGCAAAATGCTTAATTATTATTATGTACTAGATAAAACATACTTTTTCTTCAAGGCCTGCCATCCATGTTTTTACATAGGGCATCCACTTCAATTCCTCTGGATCAATGTATACCATTCCACATCGGCTTACTGTGGCAGGTGAAGCAACTCTTAAGTCTTCTACCTAAAATTCATACAGTAGACACTGCATTTGCTTCTAGTTCTGCACATTCTTATGCAAAGAAAGCAATGCAGATACAATTGTATCTTTGGTTCAGAAATAACATCTTTATTTCTTTGTTAATTGAGATTATAATCCCATACAAATATAGGAATTGTTGGATTTCACAGCAAAGAGGAAACATTCAAATTTCAGCCCCTGAAAAAGGATTTCAAAGTCTTTCATATCCTACATCAGAACTCTAATCAGGGGTCCTTGGCTCTCTGAGCTTACTTGTTGTTGTTTTTTGCAAATGTTTCATTACCCAAACTAGGTAACATCATCAGTGCACTAGTGCACTAGCACTGATGATGTTACTAATTTGGGTAATGAAATGTCTGCAAGAAAATGAACAAGCTCTGAAAACACCAAGGACCCTTCAAGAGCTACAAATATTCTCCTTTATTGCAACTCTAGTCATACAAGAGTAAAAAAAAAAAAAAAGGAAGGAATCCAGGGTACAATATTACTCAGTTACAGTAATAATATTAAGGGAATATTTATTCCAGCCCTGTATTTTTTGTAAAAAAACAACACCACCAAAATAAAAACCTTCCACTGTTTAGAATGGAAAGAAATTATTTCCTATCCTGGAAGATGAAATTATTGGTATTCCCTTCTGCCCTATCAGCTTGAGTTAACAGCACACACTGGCTAGCTTCTCCCAGTAACGGAGACAACATATGAGATAGTTATAAAATATTATGAAGTCATACATAATTAAAAAAAAACTTTTAAACCTAGGCCAGGTATAAAATTGTCGTTCAATTTCATAACAATATAAGCAAGATATACTAAATTTCCTGCCTCATATAAGAGAAATACAAGAAAGAAAAACATTGAAAAGAGCAATGGATTCCTTCAATGCTAAAATGTAAGAGATAAAGTTAGAGCTCATTTTTTTCATTCTGAATAAGACAAGAGGCTTCTACATTGATCCAACTCAGTTTTGAAGATTTGAACAGTGATGCTGTTCTTGAGGAAAACACTGGAAGAAGCCCAGTGAAATCCAGTGATACCCTGAATACAGCGTTAGAAAATCTATTAAAACTAAGAATGTGAATTACCTCAAACATCATATGGATGGATGGCGTGAGTTTGATTCTTTCACTGTTAGCCAAACAAAGCATCTTGTTGTCATCTAGAACCGTGTTCAGATTTTCGATCCATAGTGCATCCACAGGTCCATCACTGATGATCCATTTATGATCTTCAGAGGTGTCGACCACAGCAGCTCGCACACTAAGGGCCATTAAGCCATCTTTCCATTCCAGGGTTAAATTGTTAACTTCACCATATAGCTCCCCCATAGTTATTGATTTAGGATTCAGAACGTATGTTTTAACTGGCTGGAAAAAATGATAGTCCTCACCTGCTTTATGTAAAGCTCCAAGTGTATCTGCCAAAATTTGGTAAACTGTAGTTTTTCCACCTCCTGTTGGTCCAACAAGCATGACCCCATGCCTTACCAGCATAGTTTCGTACAGCTGAATCACTTTACGAATCATGGTAGCTTCGGTCTGCAATCCTTTGGAAAGAATGATATCTACTATTGTTGACTGCAGCACTCCATAATTATGTTCTGGGATTATGACTCCAGGGAAAAGGTCAGATATAATTCCACTAAAAAAAAATGAAGCACAAAAGATTTGCTCATTTATTTACATTATTGGTACTTCATCATTACCAATGCAAAATTTAAGCCATCGAAGAAAACATTTCACATAGCAAATAAGGGAAGGATTTGAATCCAGTTGTTCATTCCCCTAATTCTCCTTTTCTTTTATCCCATCTCTCAACTGAAATGCTGACAGAGATGGTTGGGTAAAACCCATATTAGGATTGGTGGGTCTCTATTCCCCAACTATGAACAGAATACAGAAATGAGCATAACAAGATAGCTGTGAATATCCAATAGGAAAAATAAAAAGCCCAGATTCAAAGCTTTTAAGTCTAAAATTGCCTTATCCTTTCCACTCTCATGAATTAAATTGGGGCAGTCAGGGAAACTATATCAGAGAGGATAGCCAGAAATGAAAAATATTCTTAACAAAATCTGGATTTCCAGTTTACAGGTACTCACTCATTCAACATTGTCCCCAGAAGTATTTATTATTTGTTAAATTTCTTTGTTGCCCATCTCACCACGAGGTGATTCTATGTGACTTATAGTACAGAGTATAACAGGATTCTGCAGCTAAACAAATCGTCATCAGCTTAATGGATATATATATTTTTTATATACACACACACACACACACACACACATACATACATATGTTTTCTTAAGTTTTCGCGGGTACTTACATGTATGGTATTCAGCTTTGTTCGGGTATTTTCCCACGTCATTATAGTTGTGCTTTTAAATATGTATGTATGTATGTATATATGTATATGTATATATGTATATAAATTATTTGGTTTGTCAATTGCTTACAAGATAATAGGGATAAGTAAAAACATAGTTATGAATATATGGATACATATAAGAAAAATAAAAGAAACAATAGGAGAGGGACGGTAGGCACGTTGGTGCGCTTATGCACCCCTACGGACCTCTTAGGAAAGGGGTGAGGTCAATAGTAGACAGTCTAAGGTTAAAGTTTTTGGGGTTTGGGGAAGAAACCACAGAGTCAGGTAGAGTATTCCAGACATTGATCACTCTGTTGCTGAAGTCGTATTTCCTGCAATCAAGTTTGGTGCGATTAACCTTGAGTTGGTATCTATTGTTTGCTCTTGTATTGTTATCGTTGAAGCTATTCATTGACAGGTAGGACATTGCAATGTATGATGTTATATACTATACTTAGATCGGACTGAAGGCGGTGTAGTTCTAGGTTTTCTAGGTCTAGAATTTCAAGTCTGGTGGCATAAGGTATTCTGCAACGAGTAGAGGAGTGGAGAACTCTTCTTGTGAAATATTTCTGGACTTTCTCAACTGTGTTAATATCAGATACATAATGTGGGTTCCAGACTGTATTCAAATATTGGTCTAGCAAATGTTTTGTATGCTCTAGTTATTAATGTAATATTACCAGAGAAAAAGCTATGTAAGATTAGGTTAACAACTCTTAATGCCTTTTTGGCTATGTAATTACAGTAGGCTGTAAGATCATTACAGATCATTAGAGATGAGTACTCCAAGATCCTTGACAGAGTTTGGATCATCAACAAGGTCTTGACTATTCAGCCTGTATTTTATTTTCTGATTTTTTTTGCCAATATGTAAGGCAGAGCATTTATTTGTTGAGATTTGAAGTTGCTATTTGTTTGACCATTCTGATACATAGTCGAGGTCTTTTTGAAGGGTAGCAGTATTGTCTGTGGTGTTGAATAGCTTTACATTGTCAGTGAAGAGAACGCAGTTGTTCTTAAAATGATCACAGAGGTCATTTATGTAGAGTATGAAGAGAGTTGGTCCTAGAACACTGCCTAGGGGGACACCACTGTTGACAGGTACAGAATTTGACAGGACGCTCCCAATTTTGACCATTTGTTGTCTATTTGACAGGAATGCTTCTATCCACTTATGCAGGTGTCCAGAGATACTATAAGACTTTAGTTTTAGGAGTAGTTTGTTGTGTACCACTGAATCAAAGGCTTTACAGAAGTCTATGTAGTTTGCGTCTATTGCTTTGCCCGGATCGAGTTGGGTAGTCCATATGTTTTTGCAGTGTAAGAGTTGCAGATTGCAGGAGAGTTTTTTTCTGAAACCAAATTGTTTATTAGAGAGTAGGTTGTTTGTCTCTAAGTGGAGGATAATGGATTGGTTAATAATTGATTCCATGACTTTACAGGTAACACAGCATAAAGATTGGTCTGTAATTTTCAACTACGCTGGGATCTCCCTTTTTGAAGATAGGGATGACTGTGGCTTGTGATCATAGTTTTGGCAAGGAGCTGGTCCTGAAAGATTTTTCAAAGATTATACTTAGAGGTTTGGCTATGGCAGTGGGTAGCTTTTTTAAGAAGTAGGCACATACTCCGTCCGGTCCAATAGATAGAGGTGGTTTTAGATTGTGTAGTGCTTTTTCAACATTGTTTTCTGTAAAATCGATATGTAGTAGATCATTGTAGCTGTCTGTGGTTTGACTAGGAAATACTAGGCATGATCCATTGCTGTTTACAAATACTGAGCCAAAGAATGTGTTAAAGCGGTTGGCTTTAATAGTGTCGTCGTTGTAGTCTTTACCATTAGGTCCTTTCAGGGGTGGGATGGACCTTGAGTCTTTCAGTTTGTTGTTTACAAAATTTTAGAAAGTGCAGGTGGAATTGGTGCGTAGAAGGTTTTCCTCTTGTTTAATGTGATAATTGGTGCATTCAGTCTTTATCTGGTGGCATAAATTTTTGTATCGACTTTTGAAGTTGGCAACATGACCAGATTTGTTTTTCCGCCAAAGTGATCTCTTTTTGGATTGAAGCTTCCTTATTGTTATGGATAATCTGTTTTTTCTGGGTTTTGGAGTTGTTATTGGTACATATAGTTTGGTGACTCTTTTGACTTTAAGTAAAAATATGTTGTAATGGTCTTCAACAGTATTGCATCCAGTGAATAGAAATTGCCGATCAAAGGATGAGAGATCGTTGTCTATAACATCATAGTTGCCTTTTTTGAAGTTATAATTGGGGATCACATCATTGTATTGATTTTTGTGTGGATGTATGTTGAGACAAAAGTCAATCATGCTGTGGTCACTGTTGGAAAAGGGTTCTTTAATTTGTATTCCATAAATTGAATTCAAACTATTGCAGAAGATGAGATCGAGACAGTTGTTAAGTCTAATATTGTTGGTTCCTAGTTGTTCCAATCCCAGATTTGTTACAGCATTGTAGAAGGTTGCATGTATGGGTTCAGTTTTACATTTGTTTAGGGTCCAGTTAATGTGGGGTAGACTGAAGTCACCAAGAAAGATAAAAGCGTGTGGGCAGGATGCTGTCCATGTTAGTAGTGAATTTATCTTGTTTACATGTTCGATGTCATAATCAGGGGCTCTGTAACATAGTAAGAATCGAAATGTGGTATTTAAGGACAGTTCACAGACGATGGTCTCAGGAAGAGCAAGCTCTTGGGTAACTTGGATGTTTTTTAGATGTAAAGACTTTTTATAGAAGATAGCAACTTCACCTCCTCTATGGATTTCACGATCTGATTGGTAAACATGATAATCTCTTACTGTGGTAATGGAGTCAGAGATGCGTTGAGCCATGTTTCACAGACAAATGCGATGTCGAATTTAGCCATATTTAGTAAGAGGAGAAATTCAGGTATTTTATTCACAAGGCTTCTTGCATTGAGTAGCTTGCATTTAAGGCCAGTTGTAGTTGGAATTGAGGTAGTTAGGAGTGTGTGTGCCTAGTTTTGAGTGATGGTGGGTTGGATGAGGTAGGGTTGGATATGGAGTTGTGGGTTGTGTGACTCACTTTTGATACAATTAGCGCAGTAGTCAGTGTAGAGATCCTTCTCTCCATTGTCTAGATGACTTTTGAGTTCCTTGCGAGTTCACGGGAGTGGATTCTTTGCAGTATGGATAAGTCTGGTCTTGAGCGAAGTTTTTTGTGGTTGGGATTGGTTTTTACAATGGTGTTTATTGTATGAATGAATATGCATTTGCTGGACTCATTTTTACAAACAACTCTACAAAATTTTGGGGCCAGCGAGCCATCATTGTATTTGGACTCAGGGCCATCTCTGGTTACTTCAATGATATCTTCAGGAGAGATGTTTGTTGTATTTGAGTTGCTTATGATATTACAAACTTTGGTGATGTCATCTAATTCGTTGGTGTCTTCAAGACCAAATAAGATGGCATTTGGACATTTCTGATCATGTTCAATTGTGTCTCTGATGAGTAAGGAGATATCATTTGTGGAATATATATATTTGGAATCAACATAAACAAAGGCACTCTTATTATGGTTATCCAGCTTCTGATAACCTCTTGCTTGGATTATTACAGTAGGCATTATGGGATTGCCTTTGAAACAACAATAGATTAACTAATTGCAATCACACAGAAAAGACCTTAAGATTGTTAACTAGGACTGAAGAATGGAATCAAACCACATCAGTTCTTTAGTATATTTATTGTTTCGCAATCAGTTTCTGGATCCAGTTTCAAGTGCCTAAGAGTTTAAGAAATCACCTGTTTTCATTTTTATTTCATTGTGTAACGTATAACAAAACAAAAAGTAATAATTAATTTTAAAAGTACCTGAACAAAAGAGCATCATCTGCAAGAAATTTTGGGAGATTTGAATCTCGTAATGCTCTTATTAAAACAACTTCTTCATTCAGGTTTGGATGCTCTCTTTTTAGTGATCTAAATTTACAGAAAACAGTATTTTAAATGTATATTAACGTTAGTAAGTCAGTTGCATTAGATGTATATATAGGTAAATATATGAGTTTTATACTTCTTGTGCAATAACACTTTTGATGAATATCAATATTTGATACGTACCAATCTTAGGAATTTGTAGTTATTAGGGAAGGCCTTTATAAAACTCCTATACACATATGTATGACTAATGCAACTGACACACTAATGTTAATATAAACTTAAAGTATTGTTTTCTCTAAATTTAGATCACTCGCTCATGTTTGCCTTGGTGCTTTCAACACAAACATGAGCAAGTGATCTACATTTACAGAAAATGGCATTTTAAGCTTATATTAACCTTAGTGTGTCAGTTGCATTCAACATATATGTGTATAGGAGTTTTATAAAGGTCTTTCCTAATAAGTACAAAATCCCTAAGACTGGTACTGGATCCATAAAACACCTTTATTATATAACAATATCCTTTCTTTGCTAGTTGTTTTACACATTTTCTCTTTCACAAGCATATACAGACTGCTAAAATAGATGAATAAAACCTTCATAAAAAACCCAAACAATGGATTATTCTGCTTATTATATACCAAGTTCTAAATAACATGAATCATATTAGTGTAAAAATATACATTAAAGTAGTATTCACCAAAAGCAATATTACACATAACAAGAAATAATTTTATTTTCTATAAGTCTAAATTTAAATCTAAAGCTTTTCCTAACAATAGGAAAATGTATCAGCCTCTGTATACTTAGAGCTCCACAGAATTGCTACAACAATAGTTCCCATAAAATTGGTCTTCATAGAACATATGAGAGCCAGTTTGGCCTATTGGTTAAGCACCAAACTAGAAAGCTGGAAACCATGATCAAGACCCATCTTAACCATGAAAGCCAGCTGAGTGACTTTAAGCTAGTCACTCTTTCTCAGTCCATTCCACTACACAGGGTTGTTGTGGGGAAATAGGAGGAGGAAGGTGTGTATGTTCACCACCTTGAGTAATCTGTAAAAATAAATAAAGGCGGGGTATAAATAAATAAAAGAATAAGTAAATATTTTACCCTGCCATGACCAACACAGATTTGACAGCTCTCATTCCAAAATCATAGTGGTCTTGTTGGGAAAGCTGTTCACTACAGAGTTTATACATCTGAGTCATCTTCCTTGCAAGTATTTTACTTGATTCAAATCCTTCAGAATACAGAATAACCTGAAATATAAAATGCATTCTTATAAAAGTCGGAAATCTTAAGCATAACTAAATAACTAGAGACCATATTTGTTCTACTGATTAAGATGCTGGCCTAGAAACCAGGAAATTGTGAATTCTAGTTCTGCCTTTGGCATCAAAGTCAGCTGGGTGACTTTGGGCCAGTCACTCTCTTTCAACCTAAGTCAGCCCACAGAGTTGTTGTGGGGAAAAGAGAAGAAGGAAGCGGTATTAGGTCATCTTATTTAGTACATATAGTATATATATTAAGTAATTAAAATGTTAAGAACAGATACATTTGATTTTAATGAAAAGGCTGCTAATTACAAACCTATTAGTCTGTTGAAGAAAGTATACGCCAAATACCTTTAATTAATTAAAATAGTTTTAATAATAGTAATAATAGTTTTAATTAATTATTAAAACAATTGGATTGAATCCATAGTGAAAATATTCATGCTGAGCAGCAGGAAGGATTCAGATGGGATTGTTTGACCTTGGTTGGATCTGTTTGTTTAGCCTTTTACCATTTAACCAAAAAATATTCCTCTCTGCCCAAAGGCTCCCTTTTCACAACCTTCACATATTGTAAATTATGTTTTTTAATTACTTCTAAGTGGGAGGTTTGGAAAAAACATTGTTCTTGTTTAGACAGATTGGCTGAGCTGTGGAAAAGGCGCAATCAATCAAATGATGGACCTGTTCTACTACTGTTAATTGCTGCCTGTGGCACTAATAATAGGTATTGAAAAAGTACCTCTGCAATCAAAGCATAGTTTGGAACCATCATAGAAAATGGCCTGAAGAGTGCTTTTAGATTGTCAGGTAACTCAGTTCGTCCAGCATAGCCAGGATTCATAGTAATAAAAGCAGCACAAGTCATAATTAATTTGATTTCACGTCCTTCAAACATAAACCGAGTGACCTTTTATAAAAGAAAGAAAAAGAAAGAAAGCCATTACATTTATATTTACATTCAAATTACATTATTCTTTATTTAGATCAGAACCTACATGAATACAGTATAATTATACATAAAACATAAGGTATTAATTTATATAAAATATAAAACCATAGTATCATAAACATGACAACAATAAAGCAATGCATATGAAAATTAAAATATCCGGTTCAGCATTATTTCTTTCCATTATGTACATATTTCAATGTCTGTTCTGAAAAGTAAAAACAAAGGAAGCCATGTTTCAAAGTTACTCCAATCAGATAAGAACAGTTAATGTCTCCTATATTTCCTATAAATCATCACAGAATGTAGCTCACTGCATTTGTTATGTATAGGAAGTGTTCAGTTGTAAAGGTATTTAGCTAGTTTAAGCAAGTAGTAACTTGGAACAAAAGACACATTTATTTGATGTTCTATCTCATTAACTCATTTTAGCACTTGGTTTAGAATGCCTAGGCCCTAAACCCATGAGAAATAGTTGTGAAAAGCCACATGAATTGAGTTTAGCTATCATGATAAACCCATACAGAATGGCAGGAATCATTCAAAAGCAAAGGACAAACCTAAAAGGCACCAGATTTAATTCTAATTAAAAATTAAATATGGCAGCCCAAATCTGCCTTAACTTTTAACAGAACAGTCTCAAGTCTTAACAGTGCACTTGGGAGCTTGGAAAGTAGATTTTTGAAATGCGGACTAGATCTCATCTAGAAGTACAATATAGATTGGATTCTGAAAAATAACTGAGAAGAGTATTTACTTCAAAATATCCTGAAAGCACAAACATATACTGGGCACCTCTAGTTTGATAAAATAGCAGCAGATCTCCCCTAGGTATTTTGGGATATTAATATTGTGTTCCTTTAGGAGATCAAAATAATGAAAAACAGTGCTCAATAATTGAATCCTTGATGTTACTCAATATCTCCCTTGTTATTACTTATTTACTTGGCGTATGGCTTTTGTACATTAAAAGCCAGGAAGCTTACAAGGTTATTACAGATAAGTTTGGCTGCCTAGGATTGCTAGTTTGTTTAATTCACACTTATGCCCTACCCAGGGTGTACTGCAGAGAGCAAACTAGCTCCAAACATAGAGTGACTAATGACCTTCTGTGGGAGTGTCAGCATCATCCAGGGTTTTTCTCCACCAATTTTGCCTCGTATTTGGGCAGGTCCAGTGCCACTTGGTTTCTGTCATGCCCCTGGTGGAGACTGACTCTGAGGAAGAGGAGGAACAGCCAACAGGGAGTGGAAGGGTGGCTTCAGACGTGGTGGAGGAGGCTGGGAAGGGCAGAGGCCGGCTGAGCAGTCAAAGGATGACCCAGGCCCCTCCCCTATCCATCCTAGGGCACGCAGGGAGGAGAGGATCAGGGTAAAACTTGGTCTACTTGGGAGGAGAGGGCCATGATCCTCTTCATGGGTTGCAGGTGTAAGATTTGCATAAGAGTTTGGACCTGAGGGCTAATAGACGCTGGAGACAAATTAGTATTTTATTCCTAAAAAAGGGTTATCTTGCTTGGTGTTCTTCCAACGGACTGTACCTGGTTATCTTCCTGAAGTTGGCAATTATCTATCCTGATCTGTCGTGGAACTTTATTCAGTGCGGTTTGTTTTTGGTTTTTGCTTCATTATCGGCTCTTTGAATTTGAACTGTGTTTCTTTCCTTTGAAATGTTATTTTGAAAATAGTTTAGTCCTCCACTGTGAACAATTAAACAGCGAAGCCAAATTGAAGGCATTGAAGGACTTTTAGTTACATTTTGGGTTTTGTTATATTTCTGATATACTCTGGGTTATCTAAGTTTCTTGCTATTGCACAAAGCACTGTTAGCTTCCTACTAGAATGGTATCTATTTATCTACTTGCATTTTTGCATGCTTTCAAACTGCTAGGTAGAAGCTGAGGTGAGTGATGGGAGCTCACTCTGCCATGTGGTACTGAGACTCGAACTGATGGAGTACAGAGACCCGCACTTTTCTGGTCAGCAAATCCTTTAAGGCTTTAAGCTGCTGAGCCACCATGTTTCTTCTCCTTTGATTACAGATCAGCAATGACTTTTTAAGGGTGTTTGTAAAAACTGGAATGTTTGATATTTATCTTATTAGTACTCCACTGAAAATGACAATGTTCTCCTGAAACAAGTTTGTGAAGCAAATTGCAACAATATCTGCATAGAACAGAACTGCTAGTATTAATCAGCATCCTTCAGGGAATGAAAATCATGTCCTGTTAATGAATTTATATAAAAATTTAAGAGGTATGGGTTAAAATGCTTCCCTCTTTCACTCTTCTTGATACAGAGAACCAAAAACTGCTAATTAATACTTATCTACCTATTGCATTTGAAAAAAAAAAACCATGAAACATAGCATCTGTTACCTTTGCTGCCTTAGCATTCCTTATTGTAATCAGTTGTTGGGCAATAACAGACAGAACTTCAATATCGATTCGATTGAATTCATCAAAGCAGCACCATGCTCCAGACTGTGCCAAACCACTGAAGAAACGCCCCATCATCTGAAACAACATGTGCAGACTGGAGTTATGTTGTCTCAAATGCTTATCCTCAGATCAGTTGTATTTCAAGTATCAACCCCTAAAGTGTGTAATGAGAGGGATACGTACATCCAAGTTTCAATGAGGTCTGTTTTATATCTCTGCAGCTCTTCATCAAAATAATAGAAGCCTATTTCAGATTTTCTCTGATTTGTTTGATACCAACTGGCTCATTAGCCCAAAGTAAATTAGGGTCTAATAAATTAAAATGTAAATCATGGTTTGCATAGTTCCATTTTAGGAGCCATGGTGGCACAGTGGTTAGAATGCAGTACTGTAGAATCCTTCCGCTGATTGCCAGCACTTCAGCAGTTTGATTCTCACTGGCTCAAGGTTGACTCAGCCTTCCATCCTTCCGAGGTTGGTAAAATGAGGACCCAGATTGTTGGGGGCAATATGCTGACTCTGTAAACCACTTAGAGAGAGCTATAAAGCACTGTGAAGTGGTATATAAATCTAAGTGATATAACTATTGCTTTAGTTTGAAGATGATTTATGAACAATTTTGCGAGCTGCTATTGGACATTACATCTAAACTTGGTATTCTGGTTTAATGGTTACGGTTACATTGCTTTATCCCGACTTCAAAGAGAAATGTGAAGGAGAGGCTCAAAACTTAGTCCATAAAACTAAGAGGCAGGTGTAGATGCTTTCATGGTTCTTTCCATCTTTTTTTAATGGCAACAAACTTCTTCACCCACCATGCTCCAGCACTCTTTCACAGCACTCTATAGCAACCAGGCCAGGCTTTTTATAACTGACTGGATGATTTCATTCATAAATATTTATATGTAGATGTTAAAAGCATAGTTACTCTTAGAATCTATACTAACAGTTCAATAGATGCAATTACTGAGTGACCTAATAGACTTTGCTGTCATTTTCCACTCACTTTATGCTAACATTTATCCGTCCCTTTAGGGACCAGGTTAAACTTTTGTACTGACTGCCAACCAGTGCTTTAAAAAAAAAGAAAACAACAAAATAGTTCCAAGAGTGACTAATGCCCTCTAAGGATTCTTTTAATTTGCATCAGTTCTTCATCCTTCCAATGATAAAAGAACTAGCAACGCTTACAAGTTCTGAGCAATGAAGAAAACATGTATGTAAATCAAGCAATTGTGTATTTGAATATTTAAGGAGCAAATTCTGGCTCATGTAATACATCGAGATTAGGCATGTGACATCTAAACAAAGCTACTGACCTCGCTATGACCAGTATGAAAGGGACTGAACAGATAGGTAGAATAATCATATAATAACCCGATTTGCTGTAATTAATTCTCTTAGAGGAATCATTAACCTGAGAAATAATTATCAAGGGCCATTCATGTTTTTAATTATTGGGGTTTTTTTCTACATAGTTTCAAACCCACTTTTTAATTCAATTCTCTCATTCAATTCCAGGTAAGGTGTCCAACGATTGATCAGTTAAGCACTGGATGAAAATGACTGGCTCATGTTTGATATTATTATTATTATTCTACAGAAATTGCTTTACTACAATAAAAAAACACACACCCTATTCTCCTGTTTCTATAAGCCTACTTGAATGCCATACCTTGTAATCCAAGCCATCTGAACAGTTGAACACCACACACTGGATGGCCAGTGCTTTTGCAAGATCTTTAGTGGTCTCTGTTTTTCCAGTGCCAGCAGGTCCAGCCGGAGCTCCCCCTAGGTCAAGCTGCAAGGCTCCCATCAGGCAAAGATAGCAACGATCCTGATGAGATTTAATGTATATTCAATTAACATGTGCCCAATATTATAAGGAAATCTGAATATGACATAACTACAACTGCACAATTAGGTTGCAGCATCAAGTCATACAATAATTATATAGGATATTGATAGATCTCTGACTTAATTTTCGACTCTTGGGGGAAAGGAAAAGCAACTGGTTTCTTAAAAAACCCTTTTCTTGACTTCCAAATTCATCCCCAATGTAGTCCTGAGGCTAGAGGGTTTTTTTTGCCTAGAATTGAAATCAGGGCACGGTAATTAATTTTATTTTTCACCTTACACTTAGTCTCATGGAGCTAGCCTAATCAAACTTATGGGACCTGTATTGTATTTATTTTTTCTGCTCCTTTATCAATGTTTTTATGCATTTTTTTCTTTCTGGTTGGGGTTTTTTGTTGTGGGAAAGAAGGTAAGAAGTTCTAATACAAAGGTACTTTTAGCTGCAAGATCTGCCTTGTGAGGGGAAAAAGTTTAGCCTCAAAGCTCTGGGGTGATCATCACTATCTCTCCATGTCATCAACCGTCACTCTGCCACTTTTAGCCTCTCTGTTTCTTCTGCCTTTTTTTCATTTTCCAAACCTCTCTTGTCACAGGCTCTTTCCACTGAAATAATTTACCCATTGCAAGAGTTAATTTCTTAAACTTTACAGACAAGAAAATAACAGCAACACGTTACCGTGAGTGGCGTTATCACTAATCTTGGACATGCACCCAAGTATTCATAGGCATAGGTATATTGAGATAAAGCCATTCTTGCCACACAGTTATCTAAATCGAGATCCCAATAGTAGCGCAGTTGTCTTTGCCAGTCAAAATTGTCCACAGAATCCACCTTGCCAAATAGTAGAAAATATTTATTAGGTTTTTTTAAAATAGTAAATTTACACATATTATTTAAACAAAATTAATGTACCTTTTGTTTAACAAGTTCTGTAACAATGTCCCTTGCATGTACATCAATAGTAATCAGTGCCGTTATGATATTTCGGTGAATTTTGGGAAGAATGCCACGGACTAGTGAAGCCAATGCATTTAGTCTCTGTGAAATGAAAGCAAACAAAATGTGCTGTGTCTTTACTTAACATAATGCCTTGCACTGAAAGGACAGGAATAGGTTAAAGCAAATGACATTGTATCCAAAAAGACCATAGAAACCTTCTTGAATATTTTCATCAGCATTGAAGAACATTGTCATGTTCGATATTGTTTCAGGGATCTCTGAGAAACAGGACATACATGGTTATCCATTCAAGAACTTCTCAGATATGTGAAAAAATTTTTAGTAGGCATTTCAGACTAAAATGACTTTATATAAAAAGACATCATCCACAATAATTATTTTGATTTTAAAATATTTCTACATTTTACATTTACAAAAGTATAAAATCATGCCAATATGTTAAAAAACAACTGAATACTCACATCAAAATTCTCATTTTCAAACTCTTCCAAAGCTACTAAATGATCATGATCTTCTCCTTCTAAACACTGAGTGAGATCACGACACCACATGAGTTGAGAAATGGTCAGTACAACCTATATAAAGAAAAAAAAAACAGAATTCAGACAGACATATCTTGTGCTGGAGATGATATTTAGTTTCATTGTTCTGATTTTATAATTTAAACATTCCTGAGTATTTCTATCACACAAAACTTAACTTTCAGAACCATTTTTCAATAATCTCAATACAGTAGGCTTATTACCCCACTGATTTTTACCACCAATTTGAACCCTTCTGAACTTGGTTCAGAATAAGCAGCTACATTTATTAATAGCCAACCTAGGAACACAGCATATTTATTTGCTAAATTTCTATCATAAAATGATAAAGTGAACTCAAGTATTGCCAAGGAGCAATATACTGAGATAAATATTCTAAGATAAAACAATAAGATGCTGGTGAACTTCAAACCATTAAAGAGTGTAATTTACCTGAGAAGGATGTCCAGCAACAACCCACTCCGTTCTTTCTCTTGTTTGATAATCGGCAATGGCAGCTTTGCTCAGTCGTCTAAGGGAAGTAAACATTGCTTCTTCAACTTTACCAAGCCAGTCTTCAACATTTCCTCTGGCTTTAAGTCCTTTTCCCAAGCCAACCTAAAAAAAGCAAACCTTCCATTCACTAGGAGGGTAACTTTTTTCCCCCCCAGAATTCATATCACCCTTCATCCTCAGCTAGTGCCAGATAGGCAAACTTCAGTAAATGTAGTTTACTACAGAATCATTAATGATGTAAGTCATATTCATGCAGCACAAAAATGAGGGGGGGAAATGCTTCAAAAATTCTTTCTACAAAAGTTCTAGTTTCTTTTTAAATATTCTCCATCTCAAGTATGACTTTTTAAAATAACCGATTCCGCAATATTCAGGCATTTAATATTCTGTTTGCTCCAACACAGTACCAAAAAAGTGAATCCAGCATGGTTCTACCAGGAAACCTAGTCTATTTTTAAAAGATAGAGTTATAAAGAACCAGTTTCATTTACTTTCACTGGTATATGAATAATTACAATTCTTGCCTATGGGAAAAACTAAAACACCAGATACTAAATGGTACCCATACTATAGAGTGATTTTATATACAAAAATATAGCCTTCTATTCATCCACTCTTTATAGGTTTCTTGCAACATACCTTTTCGTGAATTATCTTATTTATAGTTATCATAGGCATTGGCATTTTCCTAGAATTTTTTTTTAAAAAATGCTTACCCTTTCACCTTCGGGGGACAGCATTGCTAGAATGTCATTTGTGAGAACTTTCTCTTCTCCCTCAGCTGGTGCCATGTAGGCAAACTCCAGTTTAGAAATGGAATCAAAACATTTCCTTAAATGAGGCTGAACTGCTTGAGGATTGCGAGTTTGGGCCAATATTTCCAAGAGCTCATCATTCGATAAAAAGTAGAACCTGAAATAACATTAAAAATTGTAAAATGCAAATTTAAATACAAATGAAGCCTATGTAATGTTTTATAAAATACATTTTATAATTATACTTATTAGTCTTTCAAAATTGGGAGGCCTTAACATGTCTGATGAACAAAAATAAAAAAGAACTGGGCAGATCATTTTAGGCAGCATTCCTGACATTAGCTTATGAAAGTATAACATATTTCAATGGTACATACTTTTATTTAAATGTACAGAATGGTGTGAGATGGCCTTTAAGCATCTAATTAAATTCACTGTTTGCAATGAGTATCATTTTAAATAAAAAAAAACCCGGCAATGATAATCCTAAACTGAACTACCGTGTTTCTCCAACAATACGGCCTCCACCAATAGGAAGGCCCAGCATGTTTTATTGGCATAAAATCAAATTAAGCCCCTATCCCCAAATTAAGGCCTATATTAAACATGCGAAATGGGGGGGAATGGTGTGGGGGGGCTTGCCGTTAGGAAGTACTTTTGTTGCATACCCAAATATGGTGCTGCCTGCGTTGACTTTGGCATTGGTGGGTCACTTCGTACCAGGAGACCTTTCTCCACTGTTGCTTTCCCTTCTCCCTTGCTGCCGCGGCGTTAGAGCAACGCCGCGGCGTTTGGCACAGCAACGCGCAGCCAGCCAAGGCTCCTCCCTGCAACCGGAGCCCAGCAGAGACACTCGGCTTCAGGCGCTCCTGTCACCACCTTCCCTTTGCCTTCACAGGTAAAGCCAATTCTTTTAAAAATGACACCCTACTACCGGTATGACAAAGCCTCCCCTGCCCGAGAGGGCAGCCCAACCCCATGTGGGGAGGTGAATCTCCTGGGGCCACAGCGCAGGATCGGCCCACCCCGGGAGAAGCACCCAGCCGCCATCCCTGCCTGGGGTGGGGCAGAGTGCAAAGAGCTTTGCCTGGGGCGTCCAGCGCAGCTGACAGGTGGGCCCTCCTGCCCGGCGGCAAAGCTCTCGCCAAGGCAGAAAGCGCCTCCCCGCTGGACCCTCTGTTCATCCCATCAGGGCCGCGCCAGAGCTGTGTGGGCTGGGCAGAGCCGGGAAAGCAAGCCACGGGTGCGCACCTGCCTGCCAAGCAAAAGAGCCAGGCTGACCCAAGCTTGGCTTCCTTCCCAAGTCCCTCTGGCCCAAACCCAAAAGGGCCACTGGGAGAGGCTGCCCAAGGCAGTGATAGCACCCACCCATCCATGGACAGGGAGGCAAGGCAACAGCCTGCACCGCATCTTCTGCCCAGCTGAGCCCCGCCAAGTCAGCGCTTCTGCCTGATGCCCATTCTGCTGCAGCGTTTGGAGCTGCTGATGCATTTGGAGATGCGTGGGGACAGGGACAGGCTGGGCGAGGGTTGGAAAGGATGGGCAGCTTCAGGCTCTCTCCGCTGGCCAGGGAAGCAGCGCTGCTATCATCTCGCCTCCCTGTCCGTGGACGGGTGGGCGCTATCACTGCCGCAGGCAGCCTCTCCAGGTGGCCCCTTCGGGTTCAAGCTGGAGGGACTTGGGAAGGAAGCCAAGCTCAGGTCAGCCCGGCTCTTTTGCTTGGCAGGTGGGTGCACACCCACGGCTCACTTTACTGTCTCTGCTCAGCCCGCATGGCTTTGGCGCAGCCCTGGTAGGATAAGTGGAGGGTCCTGCGGGGAAGCGCTCACTGCCTTGGTGAGAGCTCTGCTGCTGGAAAGGAGGGAGCGCCTGTCAGCTGCGCTGGGCGCCGCAGGCAAAGCTCTTGGCGCTCTGCCTGGCGCCAGGCAGGGATGGCAGCTGGGCGCTTCTCCCGAGGTGAGCTGATCCTGCACTGCAGCCCCAGGACATTCACCTCCCCATGTGGGGTTGGGTTGCCCTCTCGGACAGGGGAGTCTTTGTTGTAGTAGGGCATCATTTTTAAAATAATTGGCTTTACCTTTGAAGGCAAAGGGGAAGCAGCGACAGGAGCACCTGAAGCCGGGTGTCTCCACCGGGCTCCGGTTGCAGGGAGGAGCCCTGGCTGGCTGCACGTGGCTGTGCCAAACGCCATGGCGTTGCTCTAAACACCGCGGCAGCAAGGGAGAAGGGAAAGCAATGGTGGTGGAAGGTCTCCTGATATGAAGTGCCCCACCAACGCCAAGGTCAACATCCAAGCTGTTGCTGCCCGCCCACCCAAGGATGCAAGGGGGGGGATTAAGTCACCACCAAAAAGACGGCCTAGCCGTTTTTTTGGTGGTCAAAAAAAAAAAAAGGCCTGGCCTTATTTTGTGAGAAACACGGTAATTAAGTCCTAATTAGTTTCAATGGAAGCAAATTATCTCTTTCATTTAAATCAATGAGATTCAATATATGTAAACTTTGCCAGGATTGTATTCCCGGCTAATAAAGGATAAAGCAACAGAACAGATGACTTAATTATCTTCTTACTGATTCTTAACTAACCTTGGGAAAATGACTCTCTTGGATTCCAAATAGGCCTCCAGACACTTCTGAATCTGATCAAGAAGAGCATTATTATTCTGAAAGGTCTCTAAAAGGCCTGTGTCAGAGAACAATAATGGATAAAAGTGTAAAATGGAAACAGATAAAATGAAAACATCTACGTCTCAGGATGAACCTTAGCATATTCCTATATTTCAAGCCATGTTATCCTATGAGATGCAGTCTTTTGAAATATATTAGAAAAAATAGATTAAGTATTAATTTAACAATACACAAATATGTGATATGAACAACTTTTGGATCCTATTCAGGTGAGTCTAACCTACAAGAAATACTTTTATTTATTGAATATTTACTGATTGTAGTGCTGAGGGTGTTAAGAATTTAGTTAGAAATCCTGAAAAAAATATTCTAGAAAAAAAAGGAAAGAACAGTAAAAACACATTAAAAACGAGCAAGGGTTTATAAAGGAATAAGCAGTTTTCAATCAAAATAAGATCAGAATATGTAATGAATTGTGCATACATTATTTGACAGATTTCTGGTATTATGAGTAGATGTGGGAAACAAGATATGTGGCTGCCTTTGAATGGAAGGGATACATGGTTTAATGCAAACAGCATGTAATTTAGACATACTATATTATTACCAGGCTGAGTAGCAGCACGGAGGGCGTTAGGCAGTCGATTCACTTTTCTCATAACTTCCTTCCAAGACTTATCTACTTGTAAAAACATTTTGGCTTCTGCCGGCAACTGTCTTTGAATATCAGGAGCACTGAAAATGCTTTCTAAATAGAGCCAATTCCTCTGACATGTCAGCCATTCCTCCTAGCAAACAAGAAAGGTAGGTGTAAAGGTATCAGAAAAATGTTATTCACAACCTTTGGAAATGCTCCCTGTGTGCAACAAAAATTTACACAGGGCACACTTTACACATATAATGGGTGCTTTCCCTCCACAAATGTATGAGTGTGGATACTGGTTCTCAGGCAAAACTGCTACCTATCTATTTCAGCAGAAATAATGGAGAAAAAAACTCTTTCAAAATCTTTTTATAGTGAAATTATTTAATATTCCCTGAAATTACTTTATTTACATCTCTTCAAGCCTTTGATAAAGAAGAACCAATGCCACTTGACTGATGAATTATTTGTTAGATCCTTCAAGAGCTCAAGATAGTACATTCAGCATTTTCCTCATAACAGGCCCTGTGAGAACTGTTCCAATGTCATGTCATAGCTAAGAGAGGACCTGAAGTTGGATCTCTTTGAATCTAGTTGAATATTTTAATTATGATCTATGTGAGCTTCTTAAATATTAACATTCTATAAGATATTCTTGTACAATAAAGTAAAGTATCCCTCAAGTTAAGCTTGACTCCGTGACGTTATCAGGGTTGGGGTTTTTTTTGGCAACAATCAGAATTCTTCTAGAATTAGAATTCTTCTAATTCTTCTAGTTATAAGTGAGGTTACAGCCTTTCATTTTCCCATTGACCTCCCTTTCAAATTACTAATTGGTCTGACCCAACTTTGCTTTTTCGAGATTAACTAAAATGCTGCCAAGTGAGCTGTGCCCAAAATGAACTAAGTGCGTATTAAATAACATTGTCAACATGATATCTTACTTTTAAGACAAACTTCAAAATTTAGAAGAAATTATTTAAAAATGCGGTACCTACCAATGTCTGATTGAATAAAGAGAGCTGCTTCTGCCATTCATCAACTCGTGGTTTGAGAGGGCCTACGTACCGTGAAGAAGCAATTGTTGCTACATTAATAGTACTATCATCTAGAATAACCTTAAAGGAAAAGTAAAACAACAAATTCATTTCTGTTAGGTGAAATTCCAGTAATACATGATAGTTCAATATTTCTTGTCTTAGGACCACCTCCCACTTTTAAGTATTATAGAGGACCTCCAAAGAATTTTTGTTTATATGGGTTACAAAAATCAATATTTATTTGCAGGGTGGACCTGGACCTATGTGGGCCTCCCCCACTCCAACTTACGACTGTTATTATGGGCTCAGTGGAGATCATAAATTGAGGGCTATCTGTATCTATTATTGGTTGCACACCACCGGAACAAAAATAGCTTTGAAAATGGATTTCTCTACATTATTATCCACTATGTAGATAAGTTAGCACTGCATTGTGTTATGGCTTCCCCGGATGCTGGTTTGGATGACAAGGAAGAGGTGGCTCTGGGGAGTTTGGAATGAGGTATGGAGGAGTGTCAGGAAGAAGCAGGGAATTTTGTATGCAGAAGGATGGGCAAGAGGAGAAGAGGCCAGGAACATCGTAAGGACAGTTAGGGGAGCAGCTGGATAAATGCCTGGCTAAAAAGGAGAACGAAGAGACATAGCTGCAGCCAGAAGGCTCAGATAACCAGCCAGAAGTGCGGGGCAGAAAAGGGATGCAGCTGCAGTCAGTTAGCAGGTATGAGAAGAAATTGCCTCCTCCACCAGATCCAGGGTGCACAGGCCTGAACAGAGAAGGCCCAATGGGGTTGACAAGTCTATTCACATGGAGGCAGCCTCACCCTTCCTAATGAGCAGTACTGGCTGACACAAAGCAATGTTGGAAACAACCCATCCATTTCCGCGCATGTGCTCCGACTCTATGACTTCTGTTTCCCTGATTCTGGACTTTTGCCTTTTTTGCTGAATTTGTGGCTGGACTTTGGACCTTGGATTTTGGACTTAGGCTTTAGCGTTGTATACTGTGCTCAAACCCTCTTGGTGTGTGTGTGTGTGTGAGAGAGGGGGGGGGGGGAGAGAGAGAGAGAGAGAGAGCAGGAGAGAACACACTGTAAATACCGGAAGAATTATATGCTTTCTCACTGAGGCTTGGTATGCTTGGCCAATAAAATACAAATGGTAAAGGTATTAGGGATCAATAGGCCAACAAAAACAAATTTTTATTTTAAAGCTGGTTGATCTAATTGCACCTATGTAGTCTCCAATAGGGAACTGTTCAGTGAGAAAACAGAACAGCCTGCTATCTGGACTGAATATCTTATGAGTTTTTGCCAGATTTCTCAATCTGGACAGAATAAATACAGACAGTTTGCTTTAAAAACTAATTTAGACAAAAATAGTTTCTAACCTGAATGTCATCTGTGCCACCAAGGATGAAAACATCTTTTGAATCACGATGAGGAATTACAACGAATTCTGTTGTTTTCCAGGCATCTTCCACCTGGAAGAAAAATATAATACAATTCTGAATATAATTTTGACAAATTAGATGCATTCATACCACATAAGCTTATTAGCAAACAAACAGCATGCACAGCTAACAATATGAATGCCTCCATTTATGGTTTGTTTACACAATTCATACACAGTTGCCTGGGATTATCAGTGAACCTGCTAAAAGGAATAAAGAAGAGCAACTATAGGCTTCTCCATCACCAACAAGTTTATTGGTAAAATGGATCCTCATGCATAGATAAAGTTGGCTGTTGAACGAGTAAACATACAGGTAGTCCTAGACTTATGATTCCAATTGAGACCAGAACATCAGTTGCTCAGTGAAGTGGTTGTTCAGTGAGTTACACCTGATTTTATAACCTGTTTTGCCATGGCTGTTAAGTGAGTCACCTCAATTGTTAATTGACTCACATGATTGTTAAACGACTTTTCCCATTGCTTTTGCTTGTTAGAAATTGGCTAATAGAGATAACGTGACCCCAGGGCATTGCAATCATCATACATACATGCCAGTTGCCAAGCGCCCACATTTTAATTGTGTGGCCACAGGGACACTGGAAAAGTTGTAAGTATGAAAGCAGGTTGTAAGTCATTTTTTCAGTGGCACTGTAAATGGTTGTTAAATGAATAAGTCAAGGACTACCCATATACATAGGAGGAGTGGGAAAGGGGAGACGGAACAAGAGCTAAGAATCATTTTCAATTTTGCCCATAAGAAGCAAAACAAACAGAGAAGAATGCTTGACAAATTACTATTTAGAAAAATCCAGTTTGTAACAGTTTATCATAAAATCTCAGATAGCCACATTGGCATCATGACAACTATTATGTTTGTTCCTTTTCTGATTCCCTTATTCATGAAGTTTCTTCTACTGATGTGACTACTGTAATTCAAGCAGTGAACTACTCAATGTTTACTTGGAAGAATATTGTAGTCTCCCCAACATCATCTGATGAAATACTTGACATTTCCCACATTGGCCGAGAGCTCAAAAACAGAGACGGCTCTGTGACCCCACGCTTTTGCAGGGTCATTTGCAAAAATGAATCAAGCAAACGCAAATTCATTTACACTATAAATTCACTCGCCAAAACCAACACCAACCATAAGAACCTCCGTTGTCGCCCTGACCTAACCATACAGCAATGTGCCCGCTCCTGTGTACTCCGCACTGAACTCAAAAAACATCTAGACAATGGAGAGAAGGACCTGTACATTGACTACCATGCTGACTGTATCAAAAGTAAGTCACACATCCCGCAACTCAGCTTTAACCTTCAACCACAACCCTACCTCAACCAATCCACCATCACCCAAGACTAGGCATGCACGCCCCTAACTACCTCAATTCCAACTACTGCTGGCCTTAAATGCAAGCTACTCAATGCAAGAAGCCTTGTAAATAAAATACCTGAATTTTTCCTCCTACTAAATATGGCTAAATTCGACATTATATTTGTCTGTGAAACATGGCTCAACGCATCTCTCCCTGACTCCATTACCACAGTAAGAGACTATCATGTTTACCGATCAGATCGTGAAATTCGTAGAGGAGGTGGTGTTGCTATCTTCTATAAAAAGTCCTTACATCTAAAAAATATTCAAGTTACCCAGGAGCTTGCTCTTCCTGAGACCATTATCTGTGAACTATCCTTAAATATCACAATTCAATTCTTACTATGTTACAGAGCACCTGATTATGACATCGAACATGTAAACAAGCTAAATACACTACTAACATGGGCAGCATCCTGCCCATACCCTTTTATCTTTCTTGGTGATTTCAATCTGCCTCATATTGACTGGACCCTAAATGAATGTACAACTGAAACCATACATGCAACCTTTTACAATGCTGTTACAAATCTGGGACTGGAACAACTAGTAACCAACAACACTAGACTAAACAACTGCCTCGATCTCATCTTCTGCAATAGTTTGAATTTAATTTACGGAATACAAACTAAAGAACCCTTTTCCAGCAGTGACCACAATATGATTGACTTTTGTCTCAACATACGTCCACACAAAAACCACCACAATGATGTGATCCCCAATTATAATTTCAAAAAAGGCAACTATGATCTTATAGACAACGATCTCTCATCCCTTGATTGGCAATTTCTATTCACTGGATGCATTACTGTTGAAGACCATTACAACATATTTTTACTTGAAGTCAAAAGAGTCATCAAACTATATATACCAACAACAACTCCCAAAACAAAACAAAAAAACAGATTGCCCATAATAATAAGGAAACTTCAATCCAAAAACAGATCACTCTGGCGGAAAAACAAATCTGGTCACGTTGCCAATTTCAAAAGCCGATACAAAAATTTATGCCACCAAATAAAGACCGAATGCACCAATTATCACATTAAACAAGAGGAAAACCTTCTAAGCACCAATTCCACCAGTGCTTTTTACAATTTTGTAAACAACAAACTAAAAGATTCAAGGTCCATCCCACCCCTGATAGGACCTAATGGTAAAGACTGCAACGACGACACCATTAAAGCCAACATCTTTAACACATTTTTTGGCTCAGTATTTGTAAACAGCAATGGATCATGCCCAGTATTTCCTAGCCGAACCACGGATAACTACAATGATCTAATACGTATCGATTTTACAGAAGACAATGTTGAAAAAGCACTACGCAATCTAAAACCATCTCTATCTATTGGACTGGATGAAATATGTGCCTATTTCTTAAAAAAGCTATCCACTGCCATAGCCAAACCTCTAAGCATAATCTTTGAAAAATATTTCAGGACCAGTTCCTTGCCTAACCTATGGTCACAAGCCACAGTCATCCCCATCTTCAAAAAGGGAGACCCTTGCCTAGTTGAAAATTACAGACCAATCTCCTTATGCTGCATCACCTGTAAAGTCATGGAATCAATTATTAACCAATCCATCATCCTCCACTTAGAGACAAACAACCTACTCTCCAATAAACAATTTGGTTTCAGAAAAAAACTATCCTGTAATCTGCAACTTTTACACTGCAAAAACATATGGACTACACAACTTGATCAGGGCAAAACAATAGATGCAATCTACATAGACTTCTGTAAAGCCTTTGATTCAGTGGTACATGACAAACTACTCCTAAAAATAAAATCCTATGGTATCTCTGGACAACTGCATAACTGGATAGAAGCATTCCTGTCAAACAGACAACAAATGGTCAAAATTGGGAGCGTCCTATCAAATTCTGTACCTGTCAATAGTGGTGTCCCCCAAGGCAGTGTTCTAGGACCAACTCTCTTCATACTCTACATAAATGACCTCTGTGATCATATTAAGAGCAACTGCGTTCTTTTCGCTGATGATGTAAAGCTGTTCAATACCACAGACAATACTGCTATCCTTCAAAAAGATCTTGACTGTGTATCAGAATGGTCAAACAAATGGCAACTTCAAATCTCAACAAATAAATGCTCTGTCTTACATATTGGCAAAAAAAATCCGAAAATAAAATACAAGCTGAATAGTCAAGATCTTGTTGATGATCCAAGCTCTGTAAAGGACCTTGGAATACTTACCTCTAATGATCTAAGTGGTAGAGCCCACTGTAACTACATAGCCAAAAAGGCATTAAGAGTTGTTAACCTAATCTTACGTAGCTTTTTCTCTGGTAATATCACACTACTAACTAGAGCATACAAAACATTTGCTAGACCAATACTCGAATACAGCTCATCAGTCTGGAACCCACATTACGTATCTGATATTAGCACAATTGAGAAAGTCCAGAAATATTTCACAAGAAGAGTTCTCTACTCCTCTACTCGTTGTAGAATACCTTATGCCACCAGACTTGAAATTCTAGAACTAGAAAACCTTGAATTACGCCGTCTTCGGTCTGATTTAAGCATGGTATATAAAATCATACATTGCAATGTCCTACCTGTCAATGAATACTTCAGCTTCAACCATAACAACACAAGAGCACACAACAGATACAAACTCAAGGTTAACCGCACCAAGCTTGATTGCAGGAAATACGACTTCAGCAACAGAGTGGTCAATGTCTGGAATACTCTACCCGACTCTGTAGTTTCTTCCCCAAACCCCAAAAACTTTAACCTTAGACTGTCTACTATTGACCTCACCCCTTTCCTAAGAGATCTGTAGGGGGCGTGCATAAGCACACCAACGTGCCTACCGTCCCTGTCCTATTGTTTCTTTTATTTTTCTTTTCTTTTTCTTATATGTACCCATTTCATGTATTCATAACTATGTATACAATTATACTTATTATCTTGTAAACAATGGACAAATAAATAAAATAAAATAAATAAAATAAAATAAACTCCAAGTGAGTTCAATAAATATATTTGTTAGGTATAACATAGGTCACCTAACGTAGTTTGGGTAAAATAATATATATAAGCTATGATTGTTAGTTTAAGTGTGTGTCACTTTAACTGCAAAGCATGTAATTTTGGGTGTGGTGTGAAACCACCATAAGAGGCAGCAAGAGGACCTGATTGATTGCTGACGAGACGCTGACGATTCACTGGCAATTACTGACAATTTACTGGATTGCATGGTTTGTTAGCTGCGTATTTCCCTACTGAAGAGTTGCTGATAAGAAGAGAGGAGTTTTTGAGTTTTGCATATCTCTCTACTGCGAGGAGATATATCACCGGACTGATATTTGTAAGTGTACTGACCTCTCTTTTTCGACACTGGAATTTGCAAATGAATAATCCCTGGACGGACTGAACTAAGTGAATGATATATGGACTGTTTTGACTATGCTTTACCTCTTGCTGGAATAAAACTATTTAATTAGCACTTGTATCTGTTTTTACTGAGTGTAAGCTACACAACGTTTATCTCACACATATTTTGCCTGCCTGCCTGACTGCCCTGCAGATCTTGCTAGGGTATATCCCTAACAATATTATTAAAGCTTTAGTATAACCAATCAATATAATGTATTTCAGTCCAAGATTAGAGGTTTGTATTAAAAAATACCTTTTTGAGAATAATCTCCAGAGAAGCTTCTCCAGAAGCTTGGCCAGAAACATCCTGAATCTCCTGAGTATATTCAAAAGCACTGATCTGAGTAAGTCGCTCCAAGGTTAATGGATTTTCCAGGTCTGTTAATGGTGCACCAACTATTTGTTCCAGAGTTATCCAGTGTCTGGGTTTCAAAAAAGGATTTCTAAGATCTGTGATAACTGGAAGCTGAAAGAATGAAAAGTGTATCAATACAGCTCAATTCACACCATCTTCCTGTTTCAATGAATAATCAGACCAATAACCAACAGGCTGTTACAATGTAATAATAAATTATGATGTGTTCCATCCAATCTAAAGAAATGACTAACCCATAACTTTCCAATATTTTAAATACATATTTAATATAATATTTTATTTGGATTTCTCTATCTTTTTCTTCTATATCAACATTCATATCTGTATTATTACATACTATGTTTTTTTGAATTTCTCTGCTAAAATAAATAGTTTGCTAATCATGCAAAACACTATTTATCCTTACTCTTCCAACTTGGTCAATATAAAATGTCCTTTATGCTGGCCCACAGGCCCACCTTCAGTGCATCTGAGCCTCCATAGGCTAACAAAAATCTCTTTATCCCACTCCTCAAATAGAAAATAATAATGCTCCTTACTTATACTTCCCATTCCATCTCATGCATGATCAACCATGCATTTGCCATTATTTGTCCACATAATGCAGGTGCTATAAAAATAAAATCTCTTCTAATGGGGTGTTTTATGTAGGATAGTGGTAAAGGAAGAATATTTGTTAAAACTGCATAGGCAATCCATCAACAGGGTAGTTACATGACCAAGCACTGCACTGCACACAGGAAGTTTTTCTGGATGGCTGCAAGTATACTGTCATGGTACTAAACATACTAAGCCCTCAGGAGCAGTGTTGGAAGAAGAGAAAGAAGAGCAGTTCTAAATGACATATTAGCAAACAGTAAGATGTGGCAGCTCCATTTATATGAAGCTAATGCACAACTGTGGAGTGGGGCAATAGAAGAAATTTATTGCAAAAGCTGCAACATCCAGGTTTCAGAAATTACATTCTGAAGCTATGTGCAGGTATGAAAAACGAGTTGGCATGGCCAGAATTGTTTCTCATAGAAAATAAATCTATACATGGATTACAGAAGGTGCTGAGTTTCCAGATGGCAGAATGTTGATTCCAGCATAATGAATTTCTCTTGCCTTTTCCCACTTTCTCCCTTCTGGTCTCCCCTATACAATTATAAGAACATAAAAAGTAATCTCTTTGGGATATTCATTCTATCCAATGAAGAAAGATGAGATATTTGAAGTTAGTATGAAATACAATTTAGTCTCAAATGTATCAAATATATATACTGGTTTGGATTACTGAAAAAGACTAAAATGGCTAATCTCTTTGCTGATTTTTAAATTATGTGATTAATAGGAAACAAGAATTTAGATATCTGAATATGCTCTAGATCACATCCTGCTAGCAACTTTACCATGCTACAATAGAACTCTGTTAACTAGCTATTATGCTATTAATCTGATCTAAAAGTAAAACTATGGCCAGCCGTTTAAGTCAAAATTGATGTAATATTTATTAATTTATTAATATTACTTAATATTAATATTAAGTAATATTTATTAATTCTTCTACTCATTTCTTGATTTATTCAACATTGGATCTTGCTTCACTATTTACTCTGAAAGCTCCTTACTCATCTTTGTCTCTTTAACTTTGAATGTAACATTGTAAACATGAATCTGACATGATGAATATTTCTGTATAAATTTATTTTCTTTTAGAAACTTTCCTAATTCATTGCCCGTCTCACTTTTTTTTTAATTTGAAAATATTTCTTTATATTACATTTTCAAATGGCCCTTTGTACCTTTTCTTTCATTTTCTCCACCTTCTCCTTGAGTTGTGGGACAACATTATTAGGTGGCAAGCCTTTTTCCAGCTGATTCACAAATTTAGCATATTTGGAAACTTGACCATTCAATAATTCTGGATCCAAGCTATCAAATTTAGACTACAAAAAATATGTAAGTAAAAAGATATTAGTTAGAAAACTTCCTTAGTATATATAAGAAATTTACTTTAAAATAATCTACAAAAACCAAATCTAATATAGATATAAGCAGAGAGAAAAAAATACTAGCTTTAGTGAAGTCAGTAGGAGACTTACTTAAAAGTAAACCTGAGAATTAAATTGAGACCATTAAATTACCATGTATTTCTTTTTTTGAAAGAAGTTTACCCCATAGAACAATATTTCTCCATGGGAACCTGGTCCATCCTAGAACATGAGTATGAGATGAACCCATTTAGAATAAGAACCCTTTTTAATAAACCATATAGTTTTTGGTCTTTGGTATTGTTTTGTTTTCTGTTAGTTATTTTATTATTTTGTACTTTGGTCCTAGATATTTGTGATGCTTTGTTTATAGTTCTTTTGCTGTCATGCTTCAATACAATTGTAATTTATTCAGAATTCCTTTAAAAAGTTAGGAAGCCTCATAAAATAAATTGATTTGACTACTATAAAAAGATCTATCTGGTGCTGCCCTCTAAAAAACTTATATAATACAGTTGGTCCAAAACAACAGTATCCTATGCACTTTCTGGCTACTGTTGTTAGCTATATGTAGCCTAGATTTTGCAGGCTCTGCATTAGTTACTATTTTGTTTTGAAATACAATTTAACGTGCTATTTTTAATCTAATAATGACCTTTATGGCTTGGCCCTTGAATACTTTCATATCTTTTTTTTTTTAGTTGTTCTCCTTCAGACCAAAGTAACTTGAAAGCCAGGGAACCCAAAGAATAATTTAAAAAGATAATTTACTTCAATTTGGTCTATAACACATCTCTCTCCTTTTAAAACCAAAATTTTCTAGATTGTTAAATCTGTACATTTAGATGGATAACATTAAATTCCAATATATATAATTTACCTCCATCCACTCTTCCTCAAGTATTGACCATTCAGAAAGAGAGTCCCACAACAGTTGTTTCAACTTCAACTCTGCACAAACTTCCTCCAAGGTATCAAATTTTGTTATGTCCACCTTTCAAGAAACAATTGAAATAATTGAATTACATTCATTTGAAGCCCATATGTTGCAAAATATGACACATATTGAAAGAAAATCTACAATACTAAATACTGATAAATCGGAAGTGGAAAGATCAATCCATTTCAAATAATATATAAATCTGATGCTTCAGATTCATAAATCATGATTTCTGGCTTGGGTTGTTTTTTTTTAATAAGGCAGCATTCTCTGGAGATAAAATCAAATGGCAACTAAGTCTCTCTCCTAGTCAGAAAGCAGAGGAAAGAGAGAAGAATGAATGTGAGACTACAGTAATGCTTTGTTAGATCCATTGCAGCTTGTGCACGTATTGTATTATTAAACCACGCCTCAGAGTAAGAATGTGCAAAAAACTGAAGAATAATTTGTTTTGTGCTTAGGAAACAGCTCTACTTGAAATATTGTATAGAAACATTCATCACTGCCTACATTTTGACAAGCTAAACTTGAAATGGTTTTCTTTGTTCACTTGGTTTGCATGCCGAGATCACAGAAGAGGTAACATTTCATTTTACTTCCATGACTGCAATCTGCAGTCACTGTTGTAGTAATCTTTCCATTTGCAACTCAAAATAGTGGTAACACTGGTGTGTAAAACATATATCAACACGAATTTTGGCATTTAGTTGCCTTCCTTAACTTGTATTTATTTTTTCATTGCTTTTTCTTTTCTGTAGGCAAAATTACTTGTAGACAGCTCATACAAACTCTAACTACTGACCTATAAGAACTCTAACTTCTGCATTATAAACAAAGCAGTCATTTAGCAGATAAGCTGGGATTTGCAAAGATTTTCTTGAAACATTGTCAACAGTAGCAGGGACATAATTGCCTGTTGTGCAATAATAGTTAGACAGGGGAAAGATTGAAAAAAAAAAGAACTATGTCATGGCCACAATACAACAATTAAGTATTGAAAAACTATTTATTTAATTTATCAAATTTATTTGCCACCCATTTCATGGTTCAGGTGAGATGTTTTACAATACATACAATACTATGTATTGTAAAATAATGTACTGTATTTTAAAGAAAGATATATGATTGATTTTACAACTTCATAAGATGGATGATAAAAAAAAATATTGTTTGCACATGTTTGAATTAGTCCAGATGTAATTTAAAACATATTGGTTATAATGGGGCTGTGGTGATTCCATACGCTGCTGTGAATTATAAACGAATATTTTTAATTAAATGTGGAGTTATTCACTACACATTTACAAACTGCATCCAGTTATCAAAGCTACTTCTGTATTTTTCTCTTGTAGCCTTGTTCATTTCACATTTATTGTGTGTAAATAAATATTTGTTTGGTTACTTCAATGCTTTCACATAACCCAGAAATGTAAGTGCTGAATAGAATACAGAAAAGAAATGAAAACACTACCAAACCCCTAATAAAGAAATATTTTTATTATTAGAGAGAGACCCTGGATAGTACATTATAAATGTATTGTATTCTGTTTAGCGCTGTATTATAAGAACCAGTAGGACTGAGTGATAGTGAAAATCAAGAAACCAGAACTGTTCTGGAATATGCAGAATTAGAATAATAGTCTCATTAAATAAACTAAATAAGCGGTTCTTATGAATTGAAGCACTCTTTCCTAAATCTTATTTTATCATTATGTGCCTATGAAATTGATTAGGCTCAAGGCATTCAATATTCTATCATAGAGTGGAAATTTGAACCTGTCCCTCCTATTGCAGGCCAAGGCTACCATTAATATACACACCATCTCATACATCATAGGACTTGTTTGGTTTTGCAAATCATAATTTAAACATTCATCTACGAACCAAAATGGAATTGTGGACCAATTACCTTGAAGTTTTTCTGATAGGATTTATACTGGAATGCCCGCTTTTGTATTTCATCAAGAATGGCCTGCAACTCACTTAGAATTACTTTCACTTTGTCTTGATCAGCATCTGCATCCAAAATCTGAGGATCCTATTTTTTTTTTTTTAAAAAAAATCCAAGTCATTTTATGATCAGCTATCATTAAGGTTACACATAAATGTTGTACATCAAACCATAAAATTAAATTCAGTGAGGAGACAGATTATATTCAACGTCATAGTACAGTGTAAATGCAATTAACTTTTTCTGCTTGATTTAATTCTTACTACAAAAAGCACCAAGTAGCACTGATCAATGTTTCTATGTTATCAACTGAAAAAAGAGGCAGGCAAGTATTTGGTTCAATATCTGATAAAAGAGCAGTTCAGTTGAGCAGGTATACATGATAAATGGATGGCTCTCAACAACTCTTTCACCTTTTGCTCACGGCCCTGATTTCCCAAGGAGGAGTTAGAGGGCGCAGTACAAACTGTTCAGCCTTCAAATTCTATCCGGTTGTATCTATTAAAAGTGGGGCTGTAAAAGTTTTCCTATCACTTTTAATATGTTCATGCCATTAAAATAGATTTTTCTAAGTGAAATCAAAGCTTGCCATATTTCTTCACTTAAAACCCCAAACCCACGTGGAATACCCGATTTATGAGGTTCCTTACACCAGATCCATTGGGTTGCTTTGCTTTTCTTGCTTCTTAGTCAAAGACTTTTCGTTGCCTTTTTACCCACGGCATCTTTTTTTAATATCAGATGTTAACTCTGAGAATTTTTGCTGGAGAAGCATAGTTCTACCACTTAGTATGGCTTTTGAATTCATCTTGGGTTTAGCACACCCAACTACTGAAACTAATAAGGGTAAGTAACTAGTAAATAGCAACATGAATTACTAGTATATTATGAGAAGACTTGCAAATAGAAATAGAAGGACTGTGGCAAGAGACAGCATGAGTAGTACCAATGGTAATAGGTTCCTTGGGTACAATCTCAAAATAACTGGAGGACCACTTGAAGATTGAACATCGGTATTGACAAAATCATTGCCAGTCAATTGTAAAAGGCAGCTTTACTTGGAACAGCTTTCATCCTGTAGCAGTAGCTTTAACACTATCACACATGAACATCTGCTTATCTGAGGTCCACGAGAAGCACTTGACAGGTGGATAAAAACGCCAAATCCAGTTTAAACTTCTGGATGACTGTGACAAACTATAGTTCAGTATTATAGGAATACAAAAAATAATTAATTTAATACCTGTGCTAGGAGTCTAACTTCTTTAACTTCTTCATTCAGATCATGAACATCTTCATCTAGAAGCTGGCAGAATTTAATAATGCTGGCATCTCTTTCACCCACAGATTTATCAATTGCATTGCGAACAGCAACAATAGAGGGCTTCAAACTTGAAAACAAAGCAAAATCTTCAGGAGGCGTGGGTATAACATACTGCTCAATAAGCTGATACATCTTAGAAACCACTTTTGATTCATCTTCAAGAATTTCAATCTGAGGGAAGATAGAAACAAATTATTTTTCCGTTTTGTTCGCAAATACTCTGACAGGTTATCTTAAAACTCCTAGCGAATCGAAATTGCTGTCAAATGTCACTTTAAATACAGGGCAGAACCTGATTTTAAAATTGCACAAAGAGATTGACCTTACCTGCTACCTACATGAAAATCAAGTTCAAATGCACTCATTCTTGCTCTCACTCCCTCTCTCCAGATTACTTGCACAACTGAAAATCATCAGTACACTTACCACAAACTGGGAGATCACTCCCAGTAGTTTCATATACATGCTATATAACATGAAGAACAACATTTGTTGTGTTGCACATGTCCTTGCCTCTGGGTCATGGGGGAGACCTTCCCCCATTGGCTCCCAGGATGAGAGAAAAGAGAGGAAGAGAATTGGATTTCTTTTGTTCCTGGGTCATAATCACAGTCACAGTTTTACTTAACAACCACTTCACTTAATAACTGAGTTTCCAATTGTGATTGCAAAACAAGTGCTACCTCTATTAGCTAAACTGGGTATAAACTCCACTGATTTTGCCGTATTTCTCCTCTATTGCATCTCTTCCAACATCCTGCTGTCCTCCAAACATTTTCTACTTCACTTAGTGCCAACATAGCCAATGAAAGATGTTGGAAACATCTGGTGAGCACTAATTAGGCACTGCAGATGTGAAGGAAACTTACTCTTTGGCAGGCCACACAACCAGTTGTGATACATAGGTTTCATGCCCTATTTATTTCAACTAGGATGTACTGCAAGACTAGATTTAGATATGCACATTATATTGTACCTATCTCCCAGGAAGGCAAATATAAGAGAACACAATTACTACCCAGATCAAAAGGATCTATTTGATTTCTTATGAGAAACCAAATAGTTTATATGGGTTTCATTAACTGTATCTAAAAGCAAGCAAAACACATCTGGCAATGGTAGCAAAATGAAACTTGTTAACTCATGCTACTTAATAAAATCAGTATGGTGAACTTACTCTATCTTGTATTTCATCAAGGAATGTCAAAGTAAGCACATATTCAGTAGTTGTACTTGGCAAAAACTCAAGTTTAAATTTAGCATCATTTGCCTCAACAAGAATGGTGTTCACTTTTTTCTTTGCAATGACAGGAAGCATCTCATTAATAACCTAAATGCAAAAGAAAGCATTAAAAGCATTAGTAAAATTATAAAAGGAAAAGTAACATTTAGATAAGAATTTACATAACATGAAAGTATTCTTTAGTCAAGACTATGTAGCTTATAATGAGTAAATGTCATGTCGTGATTAAATGGACGTAGGGACTTTGGGCAAGTCACTCTCTTTCAGCTCAACCCACCTCATAGGGTTGTTGTGGGTAAAATGGGAGAAGGAAGGTGTGCTGGATAGATTCAGTAGCTTAAGGAGTTTGTAAAAATAAAAGCATGATATAAATAAACAAAATAAATAAAATTTCAGTTCATAATGCAAATTGACAATAGAGTTTTGGAAAATGTCTTCTAGTTATTGGAAATAGAAGTCAATACCTACCACACCCCAAGGGCCACCCCAGATTTCCCAAACACTGTTTTTAAATTATTACAAATAACTAAAATTGTGTTTGATTTCAAAATTTTGTAAGATGTCAAAGGACATTTGAGATAGAACGTTTTTTCAGGATTTTGTTCAAGAATACAAACATGTCATGAAATTGCAGCAAGGTATGAGATCTTATAAAATTTCAGTTATTCTGGAAGGAGGAATGCCCAAGCCACCATACGAGACTGACTCTGCTCCATAGAATTTTCTTTCCAAGCTTTTCCATAGAGTTCAGTGCACAATTTTGAGACACTGTCTTAACCCAACCTTAACCCAAGGTTATTGTAGAGACTAAATGAGGGGACATTTCTATTAGATTTCAAAGAAAAGTTGGGATATAAATCAGTAATCAATCAACCAATAATCCATATATCTTTGCAGTTACATTGTCTCTCTCTCACACACACACACATTTTTCTGGAAAATCCCTTTAGTATGCAGAAACTTTCTTGTTTTTTTAATTGGCCCCATTTCATTTCTAATCTGGTATGGGTAACATTAAAAATGAAGTTAAAGGGCAATGTAGATTTACCTCCAAACAGCGCTTTGGTGATGGAATTAGTTTGTCTTTCAACTTTTTAGCATCTATGAGGAACAAACCTAATGATCTCTTTTGTTTTATTGCCAAAGCTTCTTTGTGTTGTCTGTGATATTTCTCCAGTTGTTCAGCAAAAAATTTAACATCTGTTTATTTTAAACAAAAGGATACAGTTAGTCATTTACAGATGGCTTGGGGGTGAAAACTATATTGTATTTCCTCATGGGAAAGAATACAAATACATTTCCCCCTTTTTATTTAGAAAAAAGTTTTTTTTAGTGATGAACAGAGATCATTCAAAATGGGTTATCTTCTCCTGTCTGGTCTATAGAGTGTTTTTACAGAAATAAACAAATGCTTATTGTGTATGAAAGCAGCCACTGACAATTCCAGAATGTTATAAAACCTAGACATAAACAATCTCCTCAACTCAGCAATACAATTTCAGAGAAGTGGAAGGTTTTAAGGACAGACATTTGCTTAACAATAGGGATTCTGTTCCATTCCATTCTGTTCTGTTAAGTGTTTCTCTGATAAAACATCCTGGAAAATACCAAAGCTTTTAACTATTTAAAAATGTTTGCTGTAAAAAATGGTATTGCCTCTATGGAATATTCATTGCAGATTTCATGAGATTAACTCATCTATTAGAACTGTGAAAAGCTTTGGATTGAAAGGTACAATAGCACTTCACAGAGCAAGCATGCTCACAGCATAAAAAGATAACTATAGAAGAGGTAAGAAATCAAGCAACAACAAAAAGGATCTTGTGTCACTGCAATGAATATTTCATATTTTTTATCATGAAGTTTATATTAAACACCTATATGCAGCAGCATTTTGCAATTCTTTAAAGTAGTTGTGACTGGAATTGCTGTTTCCAGTTCTAGCATGACCCTAGAAAAAGGCTTGTTTGCAGATTGATGTTTCAAGTGGACTGTTAAGCATCATTTTGCCTTTTAAGTTCAACTACTTCTAGTGAATTAAAGAATCAGAAAGAATCCAGGATTATCTATATTACACACCCTAGTCAACTATTCTATAATAGAATATTTGCAGTCTTCCTCTGTTGTAATTCAATTCAGTTCAGAAAGGAAACCTAAAGCTGAATCCTGGTAGAGACTTTTAGAATTCATAGACAAATAATGGATCTCACTTGGTCTGAATTTCATATAATAATGAAGAAATAATGACACTTAGTAGACATTCAGCTTAAAAGATACCCCTTGCCCGACAAGGTCATTAAAGCAAGAATTTATTCTGTGCATGTGTGTGTGTGCGTGCGCGCATGTGCGTGTTTGTGTGCTTTCTCTCTCTCTCTCTCTCTTTTTCTCTCTCTCTCTCACACACACACTTTATCTATAATCCTTTAATACTTATGTCATCTGGAGAGTAGTTTTGATCTAGTGATTAAGGCACCAGATAGAAACCAGGAAACTGTGAGTGACTTTGGGTCAGGCCCTTTCTCTCGGCCCAATTCACCTCACAGGTTTCTTGTTGTGGATAAAAGAGGACGGGGGAATATTAAGTTCACCATCTTGAATTATTTATAAAAATAATAAAAAGCACAATAAAATATGTTTAAAAACCTTAAAGGTGCATTACTACAGAACACTGTCAAACTGCCAAATTTAATTATGGATACACCTACAAATCTTTCAATTTTAATCACTATATCATACCACATACAGATAGTCAATGAGCAGCTACACACCATTCACAGTTACATAATTACATAATTTCAGCTGAATCTTATCTACCTTAGCAGGTTGCCTTAGCTTTATTTCAGAATATAGTAAGATACTATATTGGGGAAAATGAAAAAGGAAGTCTCTTTTCTTCTTTTAAAAACATATGAAATGTAACATTTTCACATAAAAGAAAGGTCTCCTTCAAAGTAAACTTGACTCCTAATAACTTTATAGAATTAGATGTAGTTTCAGGCAACACTATGGAAGTCCCTTCTCATTTGTTTCTTCTGGGATGTTCTGATGGTCATCCCACAAAGTCCTCTTCAACATTCCCAAATTTGATCAAAGTTGGCTAGGTGCTGCTACCTACAGTAAATGAACTTGTTTAATGCCACATTCAGGAGATTTTCTACAATTTCAATATTTCAAATGTTTACTGGCATAACACAGTCTGCTAAGAAAATCATTTTCTAATCAAATGCAGCACAGAATGTAACAAAATATAAAAGAATATTTACCAGGTTCTTCTTTCCTCAGACCTGGCAAATCAAGGCTTTCATTTTCTCTGAAAAATAATCGAAACTTTTCAAAAGTAGCTGCATATAAATTTGCTGATTCAAATGCTGAATCAATTGTTTCCTATAAAGTAAAAATGATATTTAAATTATTATAGTCTTTGATTAACTTCTATCCATACGATGGATCTATTTCATTTCTTCTACTTTCATTGTCATTTATTACTATGCTGTGTCATTCTTACATAGAAGCAGTGATAGAAGCATATAAAAGTTAAAGAGCAAGTTGAAATATCTACCCTTAGATCACAATCTATTTCTGAGTAAGTTAGAAAAATGTGGGATAAACAGCATCACCACCAGATGGATTTGTAACTGGCTGACAAACCGCTACATCTGCAGGGAGGGAAGTAAGCAGTGGGGTACTCCAAGTTCTGGCTTAGGCTCAGATATCTTACTCTTACTCTGGCTTACTCTTACTCTTACTCTTACTCTGGCTTACTCTTCAATATCTTCATAAACGATTTAGATGAGGAAATAGAAGGGGAACTCATCACATTTACAGATGACACTAAATTGGCAGGAATAATCAACACCCAGAAGATGGGCTCAAGATCCAGAAAAATCTCGTCAAATTTGAACACTGTGCCCTAACAAAATGAAATTCAATGGTGAGAAAAGTGAGAAATTTTACACTTAGGCAAGAAAGACCAAATGTACAGATATAGAAAAGGTGCAACCTGACTCAACAGCAGTAATTGCAAGAGGGATCTTGGAATTCTTGTGGACAATTACCTAAATATGAGCCAGCAGTGTGCTGCAGCAGCCACAAAAGCCAAAGCAATCCTAGGTTGTATTAACAAAGGGTTAGAATCAAGGTCACATGACATGTTAGTACCACTTTATAATGCCTTGGAATATTGCAACCAATTTTGGTCTCCACATTATAAAAAAGACATTGAGACTCTGGAAAGAGTGCAGAGAAGAGCAACAATGATGATAAGGGGGCTGGAGGCTAAAACATATGAAGAACGGTTGTAGAAATTGGGTATGTCTAGTCTAGTGAAGAGAAGGACTAGGAGTGATAGTTGGTAATATTTGAGAGACTGCCACAAAGAAAAGAGGGTGAACCTATTTTCCAAACCACCAGAAGGCAAGACAAGAAGCAATGGATGGACACTTATCAAGGACAGAACCGATTTAGAACTAAGGAGAAATTTCCTGATAATGAGAACAATTAATCAGTGGAATGGGTTGCCTTCAGAAGTAGTGAGTGTTCCATCACTGGAGGTTTTTCAGATGAGATTGGAAAGCCACTTGTCCAGAATGGTATGGGTTCTCTTGCTTGAGCAAGGGGTTGGACTAGAAGACATTCAAGGTCCCTTCCAACTCTGTTATTCTGTTAGTCATTCAGGTTTGAAACTATTACTTGAGTACCTCTGCAATATGAAATATTTAAATGTAAATAAATTTATAAACAAGGGGGTCATATACCTTTATTTGTAGGATAATAGTTTGAAGATGTTTATCATCTTTAAACATTGTTGATAAACTTGGTCCTTCACCACATGTTTTTTCTTCAATTTTGTTGTTAATAACAGGTCGAGTGAAGGCATCAAAATACTGATCTGGAACAAGGTTTGCAACAGATAACACAGTTGCCTGAAACTGAGACACAATATCTGCCATAGCATCCTGTTTGACCAAATAGAAGAAAATCAGTTGAAATGTTTGCTATGCTAGATATGAACGTTTACATAGCATGTTCAGAGCTGTTCACATAAATATTGTGGAATCCTTTACAACAATTGTAAAAAATTCTTGTGAAGACCCATGCTTTGAATGCCTCTAGCGTTCCCTATTTTAAATGTTTTCACTTCTTAAAAAAGAATACAAGGACTGATGTTACTAATTTGTGCATTAAATTACAGTAACCTTAATAATACATAAAATCTGAATGCCACCTAAAATTGAAATAAATCTCCAAAATTCATAGGTAATACTAAAGCCACAGAAAGATAGAAATATCAAAAGTAGAGTCACCTTTGCATAGAGTCACTGATAGTGATATTAATAAATACTTAATTAAATGCCATGGCTATTCTGTGTCAGTGGACAAGTGGCAAGGCTACCCAGAAGTTTTTTTATTTTAAACACAGTCACCCCTGGATTACAAACTTGGACTTTTTTCTGTTGCTGGCTACCTACTTTTCTTCCCTTCCTAATTTTTACAGCATCTTTGTCATTGCCAAAATGCCTTCAAATAGTGTCTTTTATGCAGCAGTTAACTAGCAAACTAATTAGTAGACTAGGAATTAACACTGCTAGTTTCATTGTTTTTCCTACACTAATAGCAGTTCAACTCATTAAGAAATAACAGGTTGTCTTCGTTCATATTGTATTGTTTAAGGATGACTATTCTTCTCAAATATTCTGGTCAGACTCAAAGCTAAGTTATTATTCAGTTGATCAAAAATTATTTCCAGCGGCACTTTCCAGCCTAAATCTATTCCAGTCGAGAATTACATCTGACTCATAACTATAAAGATAATGTTTCAACTACTCTGTGCCCCATGATTACATTTCTTTTAAAAAAGGAAATCTTTTCAAAACTAAATGAACATTAACCTGGAACTCTTCTACAGTTGGTTCAAACAGCAATGCATGGATCTCTAAAATTAGCTCAACAAGAAACATTGGAATGGATGTCTCCTCTTCCTCTGCAATTACTGAAGAAGTTCCCTAGAGTAAAAAAAGAAAGAATGAATTAAGTCTTTTTAAAAATTAGACAATGAATTCAAACTCTAAAGCCCTCTAGCCTAGAAAGTTCCCTGTTTGTTAGAACGTAAATAATTTCCAAGTCATGGTTCAGATAGAATAGCCAGACAATGTTCACAGGCTCAGTGCAACTGCATGTTTCAGAATGTTTCGGAATGTTGGTGAGAGTCTTTCTTTTCTTTGATCATGTGATTTCTTTGTTTTAATTATGATTATGAGGAAACTTCAGCTGTTTTAGTTCCTTTCTCTTCTGTCATATTATATTATATTCATTCTTTTTAAAATGCATCCTTTTACCGGAATCCTTAATTTTGATACTCATGTCTTAAAATAATGTTATCACATTTTTGTTTAAAACTGATATTTTTAATCAGACCTATCCAGTTTCTCAAAGTGAACATTATTTATTAGTTAGGATTTGTAGAGACTTTTTTGGATATTACTCAGCACTAAAAATATCATTTCTTATGTTATAAGCATTTCCACAGAACTCTTTGAAGTATTTTCCAATTATAAAACATATTGTATAGGTACGTTTCATTAATTTCCATTGATAAAATGGATTCCAGAAACACATTTTCACAGGATATGAAGTCAGGAACAATATATGAGATCAAAACAAAATGACTGATATTGATCAATAGAAAACAATAATTCTGCCTTAAACAGTAAGTTTTCTTAAATTCTTGATCAAGTCATTCTAAACAGCTTGAACATCTCACTTTGGTGAATATTACCTTCTTTTCCACAACTTCAGGTGCTTCTAAATCTGTATTCCATGTTTGGATAATATCTGCAAGTGGTGTTTTCTTCAGCTTCTCAGTAAGGTAATACAAGAGAGTAGCAACAGATTTAACTGCCAAGACGTGCATAGTATTTACTATAAGATAATCAGCAAGACGAATAAAGCTGGGAAGAAACAAACAGATCAACAATGAAAAACAGACTATTGTCTTAGCACAGACAATCTCACGAGCTTTAATGAAACTTTGTGTGTGTGTGTGTGTGTGTGTGTGTGTGTGTGTGTGTGTGTGTGTATAAGAGAGGGGGGAAGTAGAGAGGAAGATCATGCAAAAATTATTAAGAATATACTGTCTGGGCTGAACACTGGGGTATCCTGGGGTAAACACTGGGTATCCTGGGGTATCCTGGGGTAAACTAAATCTGGAGAATAAAGCAATTTATGGGAAACTAAACCTGGAGAATTAACAGCAATGGCAAAATTAACAATATACAGTAACAAAATAAATTAGAGACTAAATTTAAGCAAGAATGGCTTCCCTAAATATTAGATGTCACACAACAAAACAAATTCACATGCTTAACAATATGATGTAACACTCTCCCAGGCAGTTTTAGAGTGCAATTTGGGGGTGCTCTTGGGTTGCAGTTCTTGCTCAAGGAAAACTATCATTTAACTATATCTTGTGCACCAGTTGGTTTGTTCCAGATCAGGAAGGACTGGTTACAATCACTTAAATCTTAGTCATCTTCCAATTCAGTTATTGCAATGAGCCTTAGTTTGGGCTGCCCTTGAAAAACATTCAGAAACATCCACTGATCCAGAATACAATGGCATATTTAATATTGGTGTACTACAGCACGTCCATGTAACACCGCTGTTACTAGGCTGAAGTGGTACAAGTCAAGGTGCTGGTTGTCATCTTTAAAGCTTTACATGGAAATGGCTCAGGAAATCAAGAAATCCTTCAGAGAAATAGGTAAGAACTACCATATATGCAAAGAGGGCTAAAATATTCCCCACAGTAGCGGAATGGTGCAATGGGTTAAAATGCACTATTGCAGGCTAATTCTGCCGACTGCCAGAAGTTTGATTCTCACCAGCTCCGAGGCTGGTATAATGAGGACCAGATTGCTGGAGGCAATATGCTGACTCTGTAAACTGCTTAGAGCAGCATTCCCCAATCTTTCCTGGTTGGCAGCCAGGCACAGGAAGGGGGGTCAGGAGAAGAGGGGATGGTTTTGTGGGAGGTGCAGGTGCGTGCATGCATGCACACATAGCTTCATTTGTGTGAGTGGTAGGCCCGTGTGCTCATCACTCGCACTAGTGGGGCTGTGAGTGCCGGTACCTGCTGCTTGCAGGAGTTGGGCTGTGCATGCACCCAGCCCACCACTCATGTGGCCCAGTTGCAAATAGACCATGGCCCGGTAGTGGGCCATGGCCCACAGGTTGGGTACCCCTGGCTTAGAGAGGGCTGTAAACCACAATGAACCAGTATATAAGTCTAAATGCTATTACTATTGCTATAATACAAGATAGGATTCAGAAGAGACACAGCCATGTACTTCCCTGATTGACTAGGATATAAGGAAGAGGAGAAATAAAGCACAATCCAGCTTGCAAAATTCTACAAATATAGTTTATAATTGTTATTATAGCTTATAATAACCCTCCGCAAGTGTCCATTTTCCAATCTAGTCATCAGATTACTTATAGAAATGCCTGTCCCCTTTGATTTTGTCCCCAGCCCTTCTGATCTGATAGAGGGAACATTTTCCAAGTCTCCTCATGGAGTAATACCATCTAGGGGACCTGAGGAAGCATACCATGTGTCATGGTAACTGCCTTGTTTAACAGCCTGCTCTTGCAGGGATATGGATGGCCCTGCTGCTGCTGCTGGATTTCTGAAAGGCTAAAAAGACCTGGCTTTTCCTCCACATTCTGGGGCCAGGATGTTACTGTAATTCTGGAATGGTGTGTTTACTATATTGAAAATGTGATTTTTATGGAGGCTTCAACTTGGTATTCCTTTTAATTGATTGGCTAATTGATTGGCTAATGTTTTTATTTCTGTTTGCCCCTTAGAGTTGTACTGTGGGGTGGGTGGCCATATAAATTTGATTAATAAATAATAAATGCATATGTGTAATGTTTCAGTGTGATATATAAATAAAAAATTCTTTATGATCAAAATGTATGACTTATGTGAGAAATCTTTATCCTATTTATTTCGCCCTTCAAAGGAAAAAAATCAAAATGGCTTTGAAAATCATATAATAACAGAGTTGGAAGGGACCTTGGAAGTCTTCCAACCTCCTGCTCATTTAGACCATTTAGACAAATTGCTGTCCAATCTCTTCTTTAAAATCTCCAGTGTTCTGGAGGCGTCGTTCTGAAAACAAGTCATTCCACTTTCCAGTCTCAAAATATTTTTTACGTCATGGTGATCAAAACTGGATGCAATATTCCAAGTGTGATCTTACTAAAGCACTATAAAGCAGTACTAACACTTAACTTGATCTTGATTCTGTCCCTCTGTTAATGCAGTCTAAGGATGCATTGGCTTTTTTCGCAACTGCAGCACACTCCTGGCTCATATTTAAGTGATTGTCCACTAGGATTCCAAGATTCCTCTTGCTGTTACTACTACTATTGAGCCAGGTACCACCAATTCAGTAAAACAATATTACACTATATAATTTCAACAAACAAAAACCAGCAACAAAATTCAAACAAAGGGTAGCAAGCAATAAATAACATTGCCTAAGTTAAAGCAATAACTTAATATTGCTTTAACTATCATTAAAAATGTTTCCAGAGTACTGATTTTTGTTTCATACTGCCCAATGTATTGATTACACTTTCATATTGCCAAGAAAAATGAATAACACAGAGATATGATATATGCAAATAAATATATAAATATAACAAGGAAGGAATGGGCTATAATTTTCATATTTATATTTTCACCATTAATATTAAGGATTAGCTTTGTTTGATGGAAGGACTGTTGAAAGAAATTTTTGCAACATTTACAAAATAGGATTTAAGGTCTCTGATTTGATGTCAATTACTCAGGTCATATAGCATGTTAACCCATAATCAGATGTTTGTTTGTTTTTTTTCACAAAATAGGTGAAGCTAGACTAAATTATCACCACTTTTTGCAAAAAGCACTTTTGCTATTTTACATCTTACCAGTTCTAAATTGAGACAAATATATTATGACATGACACCCATAGAAACGCTATTACTTACCATGTTAGCCTTCCACACTGAGCCCTTTTATTGGCCTGTTCTGTGTATGTCATTCTTTCAGGTTGTTCACTGTACATGTCTTTCTCAACACGAGGAACGACTCCTACCGCAACTTCTTTTTTTGTTGCCTGTTCTGAGGAAAAATACAGGTGCAAATTGCTGTAATGATTCCAGGCACAAAACTAAACGGTACATTTACAGTAAAAAAAACCATCTATCCATATATAGCTGGCTAATCTTCTTTTAAATTGCCTCTTCTAAGCCGTCTGACTTAGAATGGGAGGATTATACTGGTCCCTGTGAAATTTTACAGGGGCTACTCAAATGATTGGGAATGATATAGATCAAAATGTGGATTGGGTCAGGCTGTACTCCCCCCCACAAACACACACAAATTTACACTACCTTCTCCCTGTTGCATATTGAGATTGTAATGGTGGGTAACTTGCCCTTTCTTTTCACAGTACATAACATCATATCTTGATTCTGTCTTATTTTTATTTTCTATTGATTAGATCCACTTCTCTGAGGTTTTTTGACAAGGTTTTTCAGAAGTGATTTGCCATTATCTCCTTCCAAGAGCTCAGCGAAAGTGTCTAGCCCAAAGTCACCCATTTGATTTTGTACCCAAGGTACAACTAGAATTCACAATCTCCCAGTTTTTAGTCAGATACCTTAACCACTAAAAACTGAAATTCCCGAAGTTCAAATGTTGCAAGAAAATACAATTATTTGAAAATTCAAAGAACTTTCTAACCCCATTTATTTGAGATAAAAGAAATACAGAGATACTCATCCGGCATTTAAAATAAACATACTATTATTTATTGTTAATTTGGTAGCTTTGTACCTGTATTCTCAATACTATAAAAATAATCATCAGGAGTGAAACCGGTTTCAAGTAGTGCAGTTCGACATGCACCTCTAACCACTTCTTTAGCTAATTCTCTGAATTCTGACAAACGAGATGCCACCTAAAATGTTAATGAAATTACAGGTGAATAATGATTAAATTTCAGTTAAAATATTTATATGAATTCTTGAACAACTGAAACATGAAACTCACATCTTTTAGCTGACTGAACTGAGTACCTTTGAACTCTATTAATGTATATATATAGCCCTTTTCAATTTGACAAAGTACCATGTCACCAATTCGATAACACATTTCTTGGATGTTTAGAATTGCTGGTCTCAAACACTGCAAAACAGAACAAATCAATAAGACAGAAAGGACTATTAGAAAGTATTGTGTATATTTTCTGAATAGTACAACAAAAGGAAATTGATTGGCTTTCATATTTACATTATACTTGAGACAAATTGGAAATCGCATGGTTACATCTGTTCTTTCTATTTTCTCTGGGTCTCCCAGTTTTTTCCCCATATCATGATGGAATAAAGGGGTCTTGGCATGTTTATATATAAGTTGTCAAAATTGAAATACAGATGTGCATAGTTGATAGCTCCTGGAAAATGGCTCCTGGATATTAGTGTCTCTTGGTTCCCGTATATTAAAAATATTGACTACACAGAGCTATGCAAAGTATTTGTGATCATGCATTATCAAGTATATAAAGTCAGCAAGAAACAATATTTTGTTGTTGGTTTTTAAAAAGCAAATGAACAAAGCAGCTTTCCAATTTTTCAAAATAATTGATTTCCAAATTCCATCCAAAGAAAAAAGTGCTCCTAGTATTGTATTTACTAAGGAAAGGAAGGAGGGGCTATAGTTTCTAATGATTAAAAATATTCTCCAGGTAGAAAAACAAGATTATCATCATCAGCCAGTTTGGTCTAATGGTTAAAGCACCAGGTTAGAAACCAAGAGACTGTGAGTTCTACTTCTGTCTTAGATGTGAAAGCTGGCTGAGTGACTTTGGGCCAATCTTCTCAGCCCAATTCACTTCACAGGGTGATGAGGGAAAAATAGGAGGAGGAAGTAGTATTGTGTGTGTTTCGTTATAGCATCCCTTAAAAACTGCTCTGTGTGCATGAGTGGATCTTTCTGAAGAGCATAGGAACAGATCAAGGGATTATTGGGAGAGAAGATAATAAGTGAAAAACTTCACTTTTGCAATAACAGGCATTTCTGATAGTTCAACTATTTTTCTGTTTGTAAAATATTTCAATCTCTGAATTTTTTTAGATTATGAGCTTTATTGACTTTCCATACTAACTAAACTCTAGCAGCACTAATTTAGAGCTATGGAACTACAGCTATGTTAATATCAATATATTTCACACAAGGAAACCTATATTACATTGTAAATCATTTTGATATTAAAGAGTGACATCTTCAAAACAATACAATGATTTAGATCAAGGATGTCAAACTCGCGGCCCAGAGGCTGCATGCATCATGTGCTGGCCACGCCCACACCCGGTTTAGCAAAGGGGGAGAAAAGTTGCAATACATCACGTGAAGCTGCCATGACGACGCGAGTTTGACACCCCTGTTTCAGTGTCTTTTACATGTATTATTTCAGTAATAAAACACGATACATACAGCATTAACAATGAATAAGTTCTTCTGTAAAGCTCGGCGACATGAATTGATCTTTTTGCAGCGGACGTTCTTTCTCCATACATTAAATGACTTCCATTTGCGAAATATAGCAAAGATAGTGATTTTGACAAGTGCCCTATGATAGACATATTCTTGCTCCCAACGTTCAAGTTCCAGGTATTCAACTTCTCCGTTATATGTATGAATAACTGCTTGTGGACTAATAGTGTAGTAGTCATTTTTGTTAATGCAGTCATAGCTTACAATTCTAAAAATAAAAAAAAACATCTTGTTTAATAGAATGAATTGATTGTCAAGACATTGTCATAAGCAATGATGGATTATCTATATATGCCTATTCTGTACCTGTAGGAAACAGAACCAGATGGAATAATATCTGCTATTTTTGTATCATTCCCTATCATGCTTTTGCTACCAATCTATTAATTTTCAAGCAGGAAGCGTAGCAATCAATATAACTTTTTTTATCATGGCAGGACGTTTTTTGACATATCCTGGACAACTGAACACATTACATTGTTTTTTAATTATTAGATGCAGCCTCATCCCATCAGATTTAGATCCACGACAAGCTATTATGATGTGAAGCAAATCTTTATTTATCCAGGATGGAGTGAAGTGATTCAGAATGGCACCGGTTCTACCTTTAATGCAAATGTATTTTGCATTGCAAAAAAAAAAAAAGCAAATGTATTTCCTAAAGCAAATGTATTTCACTAAAGCAAATGTATTTCCCACCCACCCAAACTTTTCACATGAAAAGTTTACATGAAAGTTCAGTTCAGTTGTTCACATGAAAGGCATAAATCAGGGTTTATAAATGCATTAGTACTCAAATGTCCCTGCTCAATTTTTGTACCACACTTCATATTTGCATAAAGCTCGACCCCGCATCAAACTGCTGTCCCAATTTCCTAAAAGCAATAATATGACAGCAATTTGTGTTCTTTCCTTGCTAGATTAGTGAGGGGCAAATGACTATGGTTTTGTTATTTGTTAACTAACATAGGTGCTTTGTATTTTAATCTGATTTATTTTCTCTCTTTTAAAATGATGTTCATTCCTAAACTGAAAAACAAGCTAGAGACTAGCTCCAAATAAAAAAAAGTTTGTTACTACAAATTGGGGTCTGGTTTATCTCTTTTGTGAACTCCAAACACAATTACATCCCTCCTGATGTCAGACCTCCTTTTAATGAACATGTGATATTCTGGGATGCAAATATGTAACATGTTTGACTACATGTAACTGATTTCCTATGCAAAGGGAAGGCTACTTTTATCCTGTCCAATCAACTTTCCTCTTGGACTTTGTTGTGTTAACTATAAAAAGGAGTGAAACATGGGGCTCCTTTTCATAGAGGGACCACACTTTATCAGAGTACTCTAATAAACTGCTTTTACATGATCTTCTGACTCAGTTGGTTATTGGGAAGATACTTATTGGGAAGGGAAACTGAGGCAGAACCTAGTATATGCTGATAGTTGTTATGTAAATGATCTGACGAAACTACATGGCAAAACATATATTTGGCATATAATAATACTGTTCTTCTATGTTACAACAACTGTTTGAAAAACATCCCATATACATTCATGAAACAAACAAAATGTTAAAAAGTTATCATATTTATGTAGTTACTTACCATGCATATCTAAATTATATTAAAGTAACCAAAATATCTTTACAACCCACAAGGCATATCAAAACTTTTAAGCACTCCTAATGTTTGGAAAGTGAAAGTTGAAAAATTTGACATGCCCTAATTACATAGCTGTCTTCTTTTGAGATGTATACATTATATGATTGCCTTTTTAAATCAAAGTTTAACCGTGTTCCTTAATTGATAATTTCATTTCAGTTTCCCTTTCTAAGGAAAAAGATACAAGTTTTCAAATTTTAGCACCACATTTATGTTAAAACATATACATATAAGAAAAATATAAAAATTAGATATAACTATATTAAGGTATTTGTTTCAGTAAATATATTAACTATCAGTAGAACAGAGATTGGAATTATAAGTGGTAAATCTGGAATTCATGTTAAACATAAAATTATTGTTTTTTAACATACAATTGCTTCAACATTTAAAGGTAACTCACTTCAGGTTATATGTGTCATACTCAATTGATGATTTAGGCACTGCAGGAGTCATGTACAGAAATCCAAGGTTTTTGTTTTCACATATTATTCTTATAATCTGTAGAGGCTCTGTAACATTAGCTTTAATTACTTCTTCCGGTCCACTAAATGTACGTAAAGTTGGAGTCGCACCTGGTTTGCAAGCACTTGTCTTTAATATACTACGTGGTTGCTTAGGAGGAGTTGGAATTCGTACCATAGCACTCAGCATCTGTGATGATAAAGGAAAGGAACTTATATATAACTCATTTTTTTAAAAAAAATACTATTGATTTCCTGGGTTTTTTGAAAACCAAGCATATTCTTATAAATTCTTAGGAGTATAAAATCACTAATTTACTGCATAACAATAATATTTATAACTGCTTCCCTAATATTTTTTTTCAAACAAAA